CGATCGATTTCCACGTGATGGAAACGGAGACCCCTTTCCTACTTTGCCTCAGGGATATGGACAGACTCGGCATCAAGTTCGACAACTTGAGGAACCTCCTACAACGAGGAGACGTCGAGGTTCCCGTTACACGGAAATGGGGACATCCCTGGCTTCAACTAACCCAGGAGGAAGCTCTGGTGTGCAGTTATCTCACCGACGGTGAACTGCGGCGACTACATCGACGATTCGGACACCCCTCTGTTGCGCGCCTTTACAAGCTCCTCAAGACTGCAGGACACCCAGTGGAGATCCAAGCCCTGGAGCTCATCGCCAAAGTGTGCCACCACTGCCAAATGCACTCCGCACGCCCAGCTCGCTTCAAATTCACCCTTCACGATGATTGCGAGTTCAACTACGAGGTCATCATGGATATCTTCTACGTGGAGGGCAACAAACCAGTTCTACACCTCGTCGACGCGGCCACAGCTTTCAACGCCGCGCGTTTCCTTCCAGACGTATCAACAAAGTACGTGTGGGAAGCATTGCGCCTTTGCTGGATTGACGTGTACCAAGGACCCCCTGACTACGTCGTTACCGATGCAGGGAAGCAATTCGCTTCCACAGAGTTCCGCCAGAACGCCAAGGAGATGGCGATTACCGTCAAGGAAGTCCCGATCGAAGCCCATAACAGCATCGGCAAGGTAGAACGGTACCATGCACCTGTACGACGTGCGTACGAAATCCTACGCAAAGAGGACCCCTCTGCAAGCCCAGAACTGTCTCTGCAAATGGCTGTCAAGGCTGTGAACGACACTGCAGGTCCCAACGGACTTGTGCCAACTCTGTTGGTATTTGGCGCCTACCCAAGGATGACACACAACTCTGCGCCATCGCCAACGCTACAACAACGCGCCCAGGCGATCAAGAAAGCCACAGACGCCGTCCGCAGGCTCCATGCTGAACGCAAGGTCCAGGAGGCCCGCACCACACGCAATGGTCCGGACACCTTACGCACCACGACCCTTCCACTGCAGTCACGTGTGAGAGTGTGGCGCGAGAAAAGCCGCCGATGGGAAGGACCTTTCACATTAATCGGTGTCCACGACGAAGACTGCATCGTGGAAACAAGCCGCGGCGCACAGAAGTTCCGCTCTACGGTGGTCAAGCCGTACTACGAGGACCCTGCTCAACAGGACGACCCTGCGAACCAGAAAGACACCGCAGAGAAACCAGCACCTGAAGTTCCGGACTCTCAACCAAGGAGCACGACCCCTCCTGGAAACGCCATCGAAGAAGAGCCAATCCTCGATTCGATAATTGTGGCCACTCATGCGCCCTTCCCTGGGGACGAAGACGAACTCCCAGACGACGGACCGCACAGGAACACTCGACCACGCAGAACCCACTTCGCCCACGCATTCCTCCAGGAGAGCGATGTTCGAGAGGACGAAATCTTCGAGATCTTCTTGTCAACGAAGGAACAAGCAGACGCCGCACTCGCAGTCCAGTTGCGCGCCGATGGCAAGGTCACTACACCCGGGGAACCTTTTGAGGAGTCTTCTAAACAAGAGATCGAGAGCCTTATTACCCGAGGCGTCTTCGAATTTGTCAAATACGACGAGGACTTACACGGCGACGCAGAGATCTTTAAGTCAAGGATCGTAAACGAAATTAAGGGCAAGACAACGGACAAGCCCTATGAGAAATCGAGGCTTGTGGTCCAAGGCTTCGGAGACGCAGGAAAGGAAGCCATCCTCACGCAGTCGCCAACAATCCAACGCGCAAGCCAACGCCTGATCCTCGCAATCGCGCCGTCACTTCAGAGACAGGGTTGTCTCCTTTGGCTGCGCGATATTACGCAAGCCTACGTGCAGTCGGAAAAGGCACTCCAGCGCAAGATTTTGGCATTTTTGCCCCAACAGATCAGGCACTTATACCCCGAGGGAACCGTGATGCGCGTGATCAAGCCGTTGTACGGGCTGGCAGAGGCAGGAACCTATTGGTGGGTCACATACCACAACCACCATTTGAAGAGGCTCCAGATGGCAACCTCTACGTACGACCCCTGCCTGTTGATCTCCTCCCCCGAGAACCCGGAATTTGCCTGCGTGGGGATGCAAACAGACGATACTCTGGGTCTGTCAACAGAGGCGTTCTCACAACGCGAGAACGATCAACTGAAGGAGGCGTCATTCAGCGCCAAAGACAAGCAATTTCTCACCACCGCGGAACCCCTGGTTTTCAACGGCGGCATCGTTACACTCAACAAAAACGGTTCAATCACCCTGCGGCAGAAGGGTCAAGCCCAGAAGCTGCAATTGATCGACGCCAACGCGCCAGACGCCAAACAACAGTACGTTCAGCAACGGGCTCGCGGCGCGTACATCGCTTCAATTTGCCAACCCGAGGCCTGCTTTGATCTCTCCAGCGCAGCCCAACACCAAGAACCGACCCCTGACGATATCAAGACTCTTAACCGAAGGATCCAGTGGCAGATGGACTCACAGGACAGGGGACTCACGTTCTTACCCCTGAACCTGGAGACTGCAAGACTGTACGTCTTCGTTGACGGCTCTTTTGCCAACAACAGAGATTTCACCTCCCAGCTCGGGTTTGCGATCATCCTGGCCAACGAAGACGAGATCAACGATCGCCACGAGTTCTCCATTACAGGGAACCTCATCCACTTCAGCAGCACCAAGAGCAAGAGGGTTACCCGCAGCGTCCTAGCTTCCGAGGTTTACGGAATGGTGGCCGGCGTGGATATGGCTTACGCCCTGGCTTCAACATTACGCCAGATCACTGCCCACCTGAACCTTCCTGCCATCCCAACCATCGTCTGTACAGATTCTTACTCACTGTACGAATGTCTTGTGAAACTCGGGACTACGAAGGAAAAGCGGTTGATGATCGATATCATGGCACTGCGCCAGTCCTACGAGCGCAGAGAACTCCAGGAAGTGAGGTGGATCAATGGAGAGGACAATCTGGCGGACTCCTTCACAAAAACAACGCCGAATCGTGCCCTGGAGCGGTTTGTTGACTGCAATAGTGCAACTGTACGCGTGGAAGGATGGGTCTCACGTTAGGAGGCCTTTGGGGGACTACGAAGGGGATATTTGGGGACATGTACGTAATCCGAAAGCCCACCTGCGAACTCTGGCGTTTCCTGGCCTCAAAAGAAGAGACTGCCAGTGTCGGAACATCTACGCCAGAGTTACGTCCTCGCAGGGGGACGTGACGGAGGGCAGGGGGGGGTCCACCACTGGGGCAGTCGTCACGTGGTCCTGGACCTCGGGGACGACAACCCCGGCTGCAAAATCTGAGCCCCCCTCATTTCTAGATAGAAGAACATGATCCAATTGAACCACGAATGTAGCACGTCCCTCCAGAGAGAAGGGATTTGCCCTGTGCTTCTAACGCTATCGCGATACCTGGTATTCCCTACAGTCAAAGTCGTCCGCCGGCCTGGTGATTGCCCTGCCGTCCCGTTCCTTTAACCACCTCGCTTTCCAAGCCTCTTCTACTACCCTGTTCGTATCAACGGTTCCCCCCGTCCAGCGCATGACGGTGCCCGCGGCTTTCTTATTATAATTAATTACTTCTTTTACTTTTCTGACTTTGCTTCGCTTCTCCTCTTAATTTCTTGCTTCTTTTCCAGTTCGGCTTTTCCTTTGGTAGAGGGTGCCAAGTCAGGTCGCATCGCATCTTCATCTCCAGCTTACCTAGGTCCGGAAGTCCGTCAGGCTGCCCCTGGCCGGGCCGGTGCATGTTTCGACCAGGTCTGATGTGGAGGTCACCTATTAATGATGTCGCAGCATTTGGCCCAGGGTTAAAATTTGGTTTTCGTTTATTGATGTACACGCCACAAAATAATATCAGAAAATGCTAGCATGCGATGACAACCCCTTAAAAGCTAAAAAGTCCACCCAAGTCTATACATAATATACAGCGAAGAACTTCGCCCCGATCCATGTCTATGGCACCAGGGAGAGGCAGGGAATACAGTTGTCTTTTTCTCGCTTTGCTCACCAACGCCGGCATCGTGCGCTGCCCGGCTTGCCCGGTCGCGGCGCTGGGGAGGGGGAGGGCTCCGCCTGTTCCGACTCTTCCGACTCTTCCGAATCTTCCGAATCTTCCGAGTCACCCGACTGTTGCGCCGACGATCCCTCGTACAGAGCCGGCCCGGGGATCGGCCATTCGTTGTCACGGCTGTCGTAGACTGAGAAGCCGAACAGCTGGGAATCGCTCTTGCTGTAAAGCTCGCCGGCCGGGACCCCAGAGCCAGACAAGTCATCGGTACCGCTTCCCGTGACTTCGATGTTGCCGCACTGCATGTAGAACTCGGGCTCGTTGATGTGGGCGCGGTGGAGAGCGATGAGCTCGTTGCGGAGCACGTACTTGCCCGGCGCGATCGACTTGGGGATGGTGGCCGTGTTGATGCCTCCGTTCTGGCGCAGCACGTCGGTCGCCCAGATGCCCTGGGTGTTGGCTGGGCCCGAGGCCAGGCCGGACTCGGCGATCTTGGTCCAGCGCAAGGATGTCTTGTCGACGCTGGCGCAGTCGCCGTTGCAGGGCGCGATGTAGGTGAGAACCGGTCCGCGGTGCGATTCCGCCCAACCGTTGGGGTTGATGACCTTGTCGTCAGAGGTCCAAAAGAACGAGGCGGTGCCACCGGCTGCGATGGTGCCGTAGTTGCTGGAGGCCTCGGCGCCGCGGCGGCAGATGAAGTCGGGGGAGCTAAAGTCCAGCTCAGGACCCTCATCCTCGGTAGTGAAGCTCCAGCCGATGGCGTTGGGGTCGGGAGAAGGGTTCCAGCGGCTGAAACCCTCGTAATCTTCACCGTCTAGGGTGAAGGTGTTGATGTAGCCGTGGGCAGCCACCCGAGTTGCGAGAAGGGTCGCCACGAGGGAAAGTTGGCGAGCCATGTTGGGCGGGATTGGTACGAGATGCAAAGAATGAGATGCAGACGGACTCTGGCAAGGGGCTTCTGGAATGTATGTTGACCTGAGTTGGGAAATAGACATGAAGCCATTGAAGGCCGGGCGATTCGTTTATTTATACATGGCTGGAACAGACTTCGGCCAACGGCCCAATGGTACGGTCTACGTACGGTGTTATTGACTTTGGGTAGGTTTGCTGAAGTTTGCAGCGCCATGTAAGGGACCTTCGTCGGAACTTTCAAGGCAGCAACCAGTCGAGCTCTCCGATCGGGCCGCGAAATGCGGTGATGTACAGATCTGTAGTGGTTCTCCGGTGTTAAGGTGGCAGAGACGCAGGGGTTGTGGAGTCACCGACGCCTTGGCTTGTTTGACGTTGGATTGTGTTTGAATCACAGGGGCCGAAAAGAAGCCGACCTGCTCCCATTGAGAAGAGTTTTAGTTTCAAGAGTGCGAGTCGACTCGGACCCCCTTATCGCTGAAACGGGGAAATTCTCCGATCCCCAAGAACAAACACACAGTGCCTTCCAGGTTGTCAAGTTGTTAACCCCATTTGTCAACCCGCCGCAATTGAAGCTTCAAAAAAGCCCGACGGACTTTAGGAATCTAAAATGAAGTTCTTTCATTTTGCCAGTGTAGGCCTTAGTGCCACCTACGCCGCTGGGGTCAAGGCAACGTCATGACAACCTGCAAACTGTCTTGGCATGTGCCTAATCCTTTTCGTCTTCTTCTGTTTCTGGAAGTTGAGTTTGCTTCTGTCGGAAACAATGCCAAGTTGGGAGTTCACTCCGGTATGTATGGACGACCTGAAGTACCCCCAACCCTCCCCACAATACCCCTGAACCCCTTAACCCTCCAACCCTTTCAGCTCCAACCCAAATCGCTCGCTCCACTTTTCCTCCCCTTGGTATCCCTCCACACCCCATTCTCCGCCCTCACCGTGCCACGCCCGAATATTCAAGCTTGTTCCGTGATGGATGATCCGGGAGGAGCTGAGCAGCAGAACGGGAAGGGGAGGCTAGCTTGCGCAAGTGATAAGAGTACATACACGTGCTCTCATATGATAACTAGGTATTGGTGTCGTTCCCTCCCCGGCTTGGTGAAGTTGTTCCATTCCGGGTCTATGGGATCTCCCTGGACGGTGATATCCCGTTTCTGGTGGGGTTATATCTTGATGTGAGGTTGTGAGACTGGCCTTGGGGGTTCCATTGGGGGTACTTCTGGTCGGCGGTGGGTCCAAGCATACAAACGCTGATGTGGAGGCCTCTAAGAAAAAGAATGGTGTCCAGACCATTAAGCAAGTACATGAATCTCAATATCAACACAACACACCGGAAGACGGTAGGTTCCGTGCGGTGTAAATGTCCCTCCAGCCGTCCATCGACCCGGTTACCCTTGATCTTCTTTTGGTCCCTTCGCTGGCTTGCGTGGTCGTAGAGTCATTTTTCTGCGTATGGGTGTCGTGATCGCGCGCGTTTAGCGGAGCGTGCTTGCGTAGCCGTTACACTGGAAGGCTGCGCGAGCAGATTGGCCGAAGTTGATCATACACAAGATCGCCCTGCTCTCCTTGAGCACCAGGTTGAAGTATACGGGCGTGGTTGTAGGGACCTGTTGGAAGACCAACAGCCACTGATCCAAGGTGTCACACACACAGGAAGATGGGAATTCACACGGCTGAGCCTAGGAGGCTATGAGACTCTGCCAAAATCAATTGTCATTATCCCCCTCTTCCCTCTGTAAGGGGGGTTCCAAACCCGTGATATCTCTCTCTGAGCAGCGATGGTGGCACCGCATGCAACCGCACCTGGCCTAAGCCGGTGATCTCTCCGGCCTAAGCCGGCCGATCTCTTGCCACCACGTTCTGGGCCTTGACCCATTGACCCTCCTGTGCTCAGACCTCCTGGTCTACCTTCCAACAACTTGGCCTGAGGCATTTGGGAGTCGGGTGTGCGTCCTTGCTTCGACGCTCTCTGGGCTGCTGCCTTGGCATCTGACCCCAGCGCGAAGTCAATCTCCGCTGGTATCCACAGAAAGTTGACCGAGTTCCCTCTTTGTCAATGCAGCCTGGCCAAGTCGTAGATTTGCCGTATGATGCTTTGTTGGCCGGATTGCGGGCTTGTACGAGTTAAAGGCAAAACGATTTGATCCGGATGTAGTTAGCGTGCTAAGGCCCTATAAGCCCAGTGCCTCCAGGCGAAATAAATTCCATCCATCCAACCCGGTGTCAACTGGGGACAACCACATTGTAAAATCTGTGGTTTCATGCCCGTGATATCTTGTCTAATTGGCCATCACGTTGAGCTGTGATTTCGGGTATCGTCTAATTTTTGTCCTGACCAGCGTATGGAAAGGACGGGATGATTGCTTTGGAGGTGGGGTTATCGCAGACGTCAACACTGCTCCTTCCTCAACAACCGCTACACACAATAACATTTTGATGTCCAAATCATTTCGAGTTGTGGCCCCGAAAATTTCCTTTGCATGTTTTGCCACGTCCATTTTGCAGCACATGAGCCGAGGCAGTCTGGTGAAATCAGCAGAACCGAACCACCGATGGACCACTCATATCAAAATGTCGGAAACCATTGATTCGCAGACGATCGAACAGATCATCCCGGGCACACAACCCGGTGTGGATGACAACACATCCAACCCAGTAATTTGTAAGTTGTCCAATTGTACACTATTCGCAAAGCAACAGAATCGTCAAGCTAAACAATACATGAAGCATTGACCGACCAGAACGAACATACCATCTTGACTGTGCCGGTTAGCCAGGTACAGAAGCAGGATGCGTTGCAGAGGATTGCTGTAAGTTAGCTCCGGCATGTTCAAGTGGGTGTTAGACTAACAAGAATTTTGCAGGAGCTCAGCCATAAATCGGCTACCCTCGCAACCCAAGGTAGATCACAAGAGGCATCAGCGAGTCGAGAAGGCGGTGCCGACAGCACACCAAGCCAAGACGCTGCAAACCCGAGGAAGCGCAAATACAACAAGGTGCTCTCCAAGGAGACCCACGAGGCGGTTTGGGATCGCCTCAAGACTGTCAAATTCATATTTCGCATCAGCTACCTGCTCGAGTTACGCCCTCGGAACGAAGAAGACCTTGTCGAATACTATTTCGGCGACGTGAATGGTCCATCCGCGGACTTTGTCAAGAAATATGTCCACAACCGCATCGTGGGCATATCGGGCACCTGGCAATACCGCTGCTTGGAGAGACTCATCGTAAGACAACACCCCGAAAAGCGCAATCCCAATTGCTAACCATATAGAATTTTACCCGTGAGCATACCCAGGAGATGCCGATATTCGCCACGTTCAAGACCGGGGAACAACTCCACACATACCTCAAGACCCTCTACACTCACGACCTTTTCGTCGAGTTGTTCGACTTTTGCAACGGACACATCGACATTGCTGGAAGTGAACGGGATGTTCACAAGTGGTGTCGTGGTACGTACTCACCCGAACTGCAATAATCATCGTCGGCTCACAAATGTAACAGCACTCTTTGTCGAGCTCCTGACGTGTGCTAAGAAACATGTCGATTGGCTGCAACTGGGCCCTTCGCGGCCGATGGAGACTCTCGCAGATGGAACCCCTGTGTGCAACAGGGCATGGCTCATCAACCGCTGGAAGAGCATCGCCGGCGCCAAGAGCTGGCAGAAGATTCGCTTCGACCCCAAAAATGTGAAGCGTGTCCCCAAGGCACTAGCCAAGAGATACCAACCCAAGAAGAAGCCCGAATTCCAGAGCGTGAATGATGATCCGGAGACATACATTCCATCGGACACGGAAGAGTGAGTCACAACAGAGCAACGACTGCGGCTCGACGCGAGGATCATCATCCTTATAAGATTTTGGGCGCCGACATTACAACATCAACACAGACGAGGATTTGAGCGCATACTCCAGGCATCTGCATAACCAAACTGCAAAATTAATGGTGAGTCCGATGTATTAGCTGATGTCTGAATACCTGACTAACACAAACAGCAAAAATGACCATTGCTTGTTACAACATCATTCAGGAGGCGACTATGACTTAGCATTTGGCGAGGAGGACGGCATTTACCAAGAGTAACGACTAAACTGCAATGCGATGTATTTTAGCCACCGTACTATTCGGGTCTGATATCACAGCCAAATGATGATCAACACATATTTCCTCCAACACTCGCATTGCATGTTTCTGGTGTCACGGGGCGTGGTCAGGGAAGTCACGGGACAAAGTCAGGTTCTGGCTAATGACTGAGTTGTGCGATGAGGAGAGAGGAAGCTCTCGCAAGGGGACGCTAACGGAGAGGAGATACTGCTGCTAGTGTGGGTTCAGGTCGCGTAGGCACGTGCTGCCCACGTGACCCAAGCAGGTCAGGCTTGGTGCCGTGACACCGTTACGGATATGGTCCCAGATTCTCGGGTTCTATTGACAGTTAGTATTCAAGGGTCAGGGGTAACAATGCGCAAGGCGCTTACTTTGAGATGCGTATCAGCGTCAACCCATACCGGCTTCGAACCTGCGACGTTCCTGGCAATATCATCGCGCTGGTTCTCGCCCAGCTTCGTCAACGGAACGATTTGTACCGTGGTCTTGTCTGTCAAAGCTGAAAAGGCGTACAGGACCGCACTCTTGCCGTATCCCGTGGCGGCGATGAGGACCGCGTCGTCCTTATCGTATACCAGGCGCCTCACGGCCTTGACTTGGCCATCGCGAGCGCGTTGCGCGCCAGTAATTGCGCAAATCGCATCATTGATGCGCTGATCAGTGGCATCAAAGTCCATTTTCCACACCCTGCAGGCCGAGTTGGATGGGCTCAATCGATTTGACGGGAGTAAATTGACTGCGAAGGTTGATGTGATTGACAGCAACGTCTACGCAAAATCTGGGACGATATGAAGCTGTTTTGTGGCAGTTGGATGGGGGTCATCGATCGGATCAAAGTATGCTCGGTAACCTGAACAGCAGGTTCGCTACTATAATTTTAACAACGCAACTAAAAAATAGCCCGATGCGCGTGGAGCAAGCACACGAGCAGAGAAATCACCCAGGAGCCACGGCGGACGGGCTTCGAACCGTCAATCTCGCCCCAGATCGCTATTACCGCGGCTACGCCACGGCGCGATCTTGGGGGCTTAATTGACTGGTTCTTCGCTCGGTAACTAAGGTCTTTTCGCACCAATGGTGATGGTAACGCTTTCTTGGTGTTTTGAATAGCGATAGCTGGGAGTGGTGGCAATGGCTGAGTTCGGTGGGAGCGATGGCCGAATTCACTGGGGGAGGTGAAAGGTGGCAGCTGTCGCCAGGTGGCGCGATGCACAATTGCAGTGGGACAAAGAGGCACAGGCAGCTAGCAGTATTTCAGGAAATAGAAGCGGCAGGCGAGCTCACTCTGAGGCGCTGGTGCTGGAGGCGCATCCGGGGGTTGCCGGGGAGTCTTCTTCTTCCGTAAGCAGTATGAGGTGTTGCAGTGGTGACGCTGGACGCGGTTGACAACCTTGGACAGCTGAGCTTCGCTCAGCTCACTGTCAACAGTGGGAATGGCGCGTAGCGGGTTGCTTTCGCCCGGCGGCATCTGCCGCCCAGCCTCCGGGTTGACGGCGTGGACGTGAATGCCCCAAAACTCAGCGAACTGCTGGCGGGCTGCCTCTGAAGTCATCTCAGGGAGCGGTGCTTCAAGGAACCAGCATAGGCCATGGCTGTGGGGACTGCCACGGCCCTGCCACTCGTATCGTTGCCATAGTTCAGTGAGATTGAACTTCTGCTTCATGACGAGCGTGGTGAACAGTTGCAGGCGGCGGTGAAAGTGGTAGGCTGCGATATGGGGATTATCGCGAGCAGCTCCTGAAGCTTGACACCCCAGTAAGCTTTGGTGCCGCGGATACTGCCCGTCCATCGCACGATGGAGTCAAGAAGCCGTTTGCCGTCAGGGGTCTCATTGCGGAGCGCCTCCTTCAAAGTGTCGATATTGACTGGCTCGGGGTTGAGCTGCTCATGACGCTTCACGAAAAACGCGCTTCTGGCGCTGATCTGACGCCTCATCCGAGTATTGAAGGCGACGAAGCGAAATCGGGGGTGGCGCGTGAAGCGCCCGTCACGCCATTTCAGTGCATGCTGTAGATAGTCGCCATATTCGATACTGCGCTGCCGCGGGAGCACAAATTCAGCTTTGCCTTCCGGGTAAAGTGAGGGGAAGGCAAGAGAGAGAAGAGCTTGGGAGCGATTGAACTCGCTGAGGGGAGTGCTGCGAATCTCGGGGCCGACGATATGGTCCTGAGCTGGTGGTGCTTCATCTGGAGGTGGAGATTGCCGCCGGGGTTGAAATTCCATGGGATTGTGGACATGAGGCTCACCAGCAAGCTCAGCGCGCAACATATCAAGTTCTCGCTCGCTGACGACCATATTCGGCACAGCAGCCGCCTCCTGGTCATCAAAGTCAACAGCATCCTCGAGGTTGACAGCAGCATCCTCAACTTCATGGATGGGAAGCTGGTCCATGAGATCGCCGCGCTCCGGGAGGGCTTGCAAGGCAGCTTGGTCCACCTCAACATCTCGATAGCCGGGGTGGTGGGCGCGCAAGAAAAGCAGCCACGCGGTGACGACCTTGCGGCGCACAACAAATTGACGACGAAACTGGCACTGGAGATGCGGGTGGTTTGCGGTGTTGGCAGGGCGTAAGATGATAACGTCAAGATCCCGCGCAAGGCATGGTAGCTGGCTGTAGACCTTGCCCACGTCCCGCAAGAAATGCACGACGTGACCGCGATACTTGTATTGCGCACCGCGCACCGCCAGGACCTGAATATGGACATGGACGCGCGCGATAAGCATTTCCTCAACCGGGGTGAGCTCACCTAGTCTTGCCAGCTGAGGAGGGACGTCTCCGAAGTCAAGATTGTTGGCGGCTGAGTAGAAATAAGGAAGGGGAGGCTGGTCGGCTTGCTCACGGAGGTAAGGGGAAGTCGCGACGCTGGCACGTGTGGCAGACAGCAACACCATTCAAGTCCCGTAGCTTCATGTCAAACCAGCGGTGCTGACACCGGCCGCAAAGCTCCATCTTGTCATCCGTAAGCTGCTGGTGAAAGGATTCGATAAACCGGGCATCCTCCGAAGTTACCGCAATTGTATCCAGCGGCGTCACCCCCGGCTCAAACGGAGGATCTGGTGCTGTGAGATCGCGAGCAGGTATAGGCCGTATTGAAAGCGGGCGTCCTCTCGCAGGGCGTGGAGGCAACTGGGAGGGGGGATGAGGCTGGAGGGAAGCTGGCTTGAGGAGAAGTTGTTGGGGACGTCGTCACCGTCATATCGAGACGAGTGGACCGACGACCGGCCCGACGGCAAGAAGCTCCCACTAGAGTGACCCTGCCCCACCTCCGGTGTGACGAGCGGCGGGCCACCGGCTCCCGGTGTGGTGGGAGCGGGGTGCGATGAATCAAGCTGGGAGAGAGACGGCGACGAAGACGAAGAAGGCTTTGCCCGTAGCTGAGCTAGGGTAGGTGTGAGGCTAGTCTCAGCTCCGCCCCGTCGCTCAGCACGGTGCCGCCGTTGGATATCAGTTTGCTCTTTGCGAGGTTGTGCCGTTGGGGGACTGTCGCCTGAGTGTTGGCCACGGCGAAAGTAAGTTGCTGTAGTTGCCGCGGAGGTAATGCGACTGAAGACTCGATCTCGCCGCCGTAGCGGCGACGGTGACGGTGCCACTACAGGCGTAGGAGAGTGGGGAGACGTCGCTGCTATAGCTGCGGGATGGGCTGTAACCCTCCCTTCGGACAGCTGCAACGGTAGACTTGCAAGCGGCGTGCCAAGGTCAACGCGAATTTCCTCTAGAGCCAAAGGCGTGACTGGGCGATGAGGAGCTTCTCGTGGCTGGCTGGGCGTAATTGCAGCTACTGCTTGGGACCGCTTGGGTGTCGCGGATGGCTGCTGGGAAAGCGACGAAGATTTGGGAGGGACGACTGCTTGAGAACTTGAGGGATTGGAGGATGGAGCAGCCGCAGCTTCGAGGCTTCGAGGCTTCGTCGTAGATAGTCCACGCGTGCAAGCTGGGAATAGCCTCATAGTTAGCTCAGTGGCGTGACGAAGTGGGAGTAAGGAACAACTTCTTGACGGCGCGTAGCGGCTTTGTCGTCACGGCAAATAGTACAGCTTCCAACCCACCCGCCCTTCTTACCGTAGAACATGCTAACAGGCCTTCGGGTATTGCATCTAGGGCAAAATCATGGTGCTGGGGCTAGCAATGGTGTCGCCAGCCCCGTTGCCGCGGTTGCCACTATCGCCACTTCTACCGGGCGCGTCTGCAGCTCCCACGCCCGCCATCTGCTGGAAATGAGCTGAAAAGTTGCCAGAAGCTGGTGCAATTGACGAGCTATCGTTTCATCGTGTAGATTTGTCGTATCTTAAGAATTGGGTTCTGCGCGATGATTGTTGTTATAATTCACCCCAGGAGCCACACCTACGCACAGCCACCTCCGCTCGCTAAGGCTCGCTACGGGGGCGGTTGCTTCGGTGTGGCTCCTGGGTGAATTATAACAACAAAAATACTACCATTAAATGCGCGCGCTTCAGACCATCCTCCAGAACTATTTATATTTGCGGTACGACGTTGTGGTGTTGAGATATTTAGGAGTGACTGCGGCATCGAATTTCAATTTGTATGGGGGCATGCTCGGTAACCTGACCCAATCCCGAAAAATGCCCTCAGACCTCTTTCAAAGGCGTTCTGTGCAAAAAGTGGGCCCCAACCAGATAGGCTTAGCGGGACTTGGCTGTACTGAAAAATGTATGGTATTACGTCCTTACGAGCCGAAGCACAGGCCTTTTTCCAGCCTGCGGCTGGAAAAGCAAGAACACCCTCGAAAGAGGTCTGGGAATTCCGAGATAAGGGCCGCACTTGCATAGTTAATCCCCGCGGACCCCGAGAACCTATTGGGAGCCCTGTGCGGCGGGGTGCTTTCGTCACCGTAAAGTTCTCGAGATGTTGAGACGGATTTCCTGTCCATCTGATAGTCCGCCACTGTCCATCTCATTCAACTTGTCCATCCTATCTCCTCTTGATCAAATGCATCTTCCAGCGAGAGAAAAGCAGCCAAACAATCTCGCCCAGTTCGCCAACTTCTGATATCGACTCAATCCAATTGTTGGAGAGCCGCACTTGGCCCTCCTTTGAAGCGCTTTTCAGAGGAGGCCGTCACGAGCTACCGTAGGAACCGTCACCGCATACCGTAGGCCTAAATTCTGCCCACACAAATCCCTAACCCTGGCCTCGCGCAACAATTCTGCCGCCCCGCCTTCGGCAATTCTGCCGCACTTCCAGCTTTCTGCGCGCGTGCACGCATCATCATCACCACCAACCCTCGCACACCAACAGCCATTGCAACTGCGCTGCGCGCGTACCTTCAGTAAGCGCCCCAGCTGTTTCGCGCGCTCTACAGGGCTAACCAGCGATAGATATGGCGCTTTCAGAGCTCGACTCCGACGCGCACAGCGATGCGCACAGCGATGCGCACAGCGATGCGCACAGCGATGCGCACAGCGATGCGCACAGCGATACGAGCGCGCGGGGCGACGCGCAAGCGCTGCCAGCGCCGCTCTCGAACCCCGGGACAAGCCACAAGCTTACCAACAGCCAGTACGATTGCTTAGACGACTTGCTTGACGACCTTCACGATCACGGAGCCAAGGCTGGCTTTGCCGTCTACAAGATGCGCAGCAACAACTATATCAAGGACTTTGGGCCCAGTCGAGTTGATCTCGGCTGCTACAAGGGCAAGATTCAGCCCTCCAGAGCCCACTCTCGCAACACTTCGACAGTCAAACAAGGCTGTACGTGGCAGGCCATCGCGAAGGCGCTGTTGGTTAATGGGGAGCGCAAATGGACCTTCCACATCAAGTCTGGCTGCGAGAGCCATGTCAATCACGAGGCAAAAGACTTTCAGTGCGCGAGGCGACTCAGAACTGAGCACAAGGCCTTCGTAGCGCAGTATATCGACAGACCGGCGGTTTCAAACCGCGAAGTGGCTGTTGACCTGCGCAACAAGTTTCCAGGCATTGTCTTTACTCGGCGCCAACTACGCAGTCTGCGCTACCGGCTGCGCAAGGAGTCCCTCAACGGCTATACACCCTTCCAAGCAACCAAGAAGCTACTTGATGATGAGGGCATCATGCACCAAATCAAGTGGGCAGCGGCCCCCGATGACGGTGAGGCAGAGCGGAAGCCAGAGGGCTTGTTTTGGACATACAAATGGTGCGAGAAGCAGTGGGTTCTGTACCCATGGGTCCAGCTCTATGACAACACCTACAGGACCAACAATAAGGGGCTTGCCTTCTTCCAAGTTGTAGGGCTTAACCACCTTGGCATGGCCTTTGCATGTGGCTTCGGCCTCAGTTTAGCCCGAGAGGCAAGAAGGCTTCGACTGGCTGATGGACCAAGTTGATGTCAATCGCGCGCGAATCGGCGCCTCAACACCAAGCGTTACCATCACCGATTACGACGACGCCATGCGGAACGCGATTGCCAGAGTATATCCGGAAGCCCAGCCGCAAATTTGTATATTCCACATCAACAAGAACGTCGCTTTGCACTTCAAGAAGAAGTGGAACAAAGATGCCGCCGCTGCGGTAGCTCAGTCAGGACAGCAGTCAGCACAGCAGTCAACTGGCCAGTCAGAAGCCCCCTCTGACCTTGACACTCGACAAGACGATGGGGAAGAGGTTGAGCGAGTTGTGAATCGAGCCAACAGGGCTGCCGACGGCTCTCTCGAACCATTGCCAACAGAGGTGGAGTACTCAATGGCTGGCATGTATACCCTTTGGGAGCACATGATCTACTCTGCTAGCTTGGATTCCTTCAACGCTGCGTGGGAGATGATGAGAGCGTATTTTGCTAGCCAGACAGCTATTCTGACGTATCTCGAGACTACCTACTTGCCTGTTGTCGAACAGTGGGCTGGCTGCTATATCAACAAGAGACTCAACTTCGGCCAGCGCACCACATCGCCAGTCGAGTCAGTCAATGGTTACCTTAAGAGCTTTGTGATCAACGGCAACAGCACTGTAAAGCAAGTCGTCGGCCAAGCCTTCAACATGGTTACAGAGATGGAGCGGTCAGTCAAGGAAGCAGTCAAAGAGGAAAAGAACCGCCTACGCTTCGAGTACATAGGCCAGAAGTGGCTTGGCTCAGCGCCTTATAACGTCTCCTCCAAGGCGTTGAAGTTGGTGACGAAGCAATACCGAACTATGCTTGGCGCTGTCGAGTCTCGCAGTCGGCCAACTGCGGAAGCTCTCAAGCCTTGTACCGGCCGATTCACAGCGCAGTATGGTATGCCTTGCAGCCATAAGCTCTTTGAGCGCTACCAAGTTAAGAATCTGATGCTGAAGAAGGAGGACTTCCATCCATACTAGTGGCTGGAGAGAAGCCTCGTCGACGAGGATCAGTACTTACAGTATCACGAGTTTGACCGCGTCACACAGTTGCGCGGCAGACCACGCGGCTCTACAGCTTTTGCCCCTGATTCGACGGCACCACGGCTCACACAGCCCCCTCCACAGCCGTCGGCAACGCCCCAGTCAACAGCAGCTAGCACCAGGGGACACTCAACAAGAGCCAGGGGCACCAGACGTGCCACATCGCGCCAGTCAGGCCTTGCGCCGTCGATACAGCGTGTTCCATCGCAATGGGAGGGCGTGGAACTGGTTGAGGCAGAGCCTGGGGTCTCCAGGACGATCAATGGCCTAGAAACAGCAGCGCGCGCGTCCAGACGTGCCCGGGACGGTCAATCCAGAGGTTCACGAGCGCGGGGAGGGCGTGCGGCGCCTTCAACACCAAGAAGCACGGCTGGCGCAAGCCGTGGCGGCATCGCGAAGCGAGGCACGCAGGCACGGGGTCGCCAGACGGCCAGGGGAGGCACAAATGCAGCTGTGGGCGAGGCGGAAGGACCGTCTCAGGGTGAAATGGCTCGGGATGGCCCGCAGGAAGGTTCACAGCGTAATTGACGGTTTCACGCGCACTAGTTGGCTGTGCACAATTCCCAGCGATGGGCGTGTTATTGTAGGAATCGCGAGAACTAGCATAGGTAGCCAGAATTAACGGCTTGGCGGCATCGCTGTTTGCGCTGAATTGCGCTGCGATTTGATTGCACTGTGGCAATTGACGAGCGCTGCGCGCGCATCGCGAAGGCGGTGAGCGATTATTTTCACCGCCTACCTTACTAGGTAGGCGGTGGGCGTTGTGGGGTGGTGCTACGGTATGCGGTGACGGTTCCTACGGTAGCTCGTGACGGCCTCATAGCCAATAGATTGAATTAGTGGCCCACACCTGCAATTGAGCCCAACACTGGTCTGAGCGCATTATTCGGAATTCCAACTAGCAGGTCCCGCTTTAGCTGCTGAAGATAGGACGCTGAACACTTGGAGAAAGTAGCCTCCAAGCTGATCTGCTAACAACAACCAAGGCAAGAGGTAAATGGTGCAGCGAGAAAGAGGGAAGAAGTAGGGGGCTTGTACGAGTTAAAGGCAAACCGATTTGATCCGGATGTAGTTAGCGTGCTAAGGCCCTATAGGCCCAGTGCCTCCGGGCGAAATAAATTCCATCCATCCATCCATTCGGAATTCCTACCTTTCGACCAGCGATTTGGCTCAACGAATTGCGCCAACGACCACATCTCGATCAACACCTCGATTAAAAACGTGTCGTGAGTTGCCCTCGAATAGCTATATTCAGCGCCTTTTAACCATACTAATTTATACCGCATAGATGGCTGATTCCGATGTTGAAGAGGGTCCGCCCGCGCCGCCTGCGCTGCCCGCGCTGCCAGCGACACTCCCGCGTACTCTCACACTACCGCACCACCCATCTTCGTCATCTGTCCTTTCGTCTACGCGCTCAGTTAGCACCCCGTGGGGTACTCCTAGCCCGTCCCGCTGTCTGGCGACTATGGCGGAGGAAGAGGCTTATGAGGCTGATTCGGAAGACGATGATGAAGGTACAGCGCTGGATGATATTGTCCAGGAGACACTGGGTCACTGGAATAATCTGAGAAGCAGGGCGAGAAGGTCTCGCAACACAGACATGTACAACCTGGACACGTTCATCAGCAAGTGGGTGAAACATCCTCGCCGGGCAAAGCAACTAGCAGATGTGCTGCTCAAGCCTGAGGTACAGGCCGCTCTAGAGAGCAAGAACGTTGTTGTGAGAGTAGCGCAGGGCGAGGACGACAGTATAATTAGCAGAATTCGACATGAGTTGAAGCCATTGCAAGTTGACCCATCATTCAGCGAGTTCAAGCCCGAAGAACAACAAGCAGCAGATCCCACCACAGTTGAGGATATCTGTAAGACGGAATGGCTGGACAAGAACCTCGCCAGAGCGTGGCCAACACTCAAGGAGAAGGCGCCTACTACAGTCAGATTACTCTCGCAAGTCATGCAGACTCAGTGGGATAACGGCGTTTCGACAGTTCAAGCCAACAACGACTTCAAGAACCAGATCTATCTTGTTGTATCTATCTTGCTTGGCGGTTTCGCCCGCAATAAAGCCAGCTTCCTGCGCGATATATTGGGTCTGTATCTCATTGCGAACGGCACTGCGCGTCGAGCCATTGAAGTCCTCAACCACATCGGCGTCATCCCCTCTTACGCAACTCTCAACCGCTTACTGAACCAGATGGCGGCCAAGGCGAAAGATGGTATCAAGAAGGTGGCACACGACCCCAATGGCATCGTGGTATACGACAACTTCAACTTCAAGAGTCGTGTTCGCGAACTGGCTGGCGGTAAGCAAGACCAGTTCATCAATCTTACCACATCCCTCCTTCTTGGTTGCCCAGAGCTGAACGGCCCATTCAAACAGTCCGACATCGACATCACTGTTCCGTTTACCAAGAAGATGGTCATCGAGTACCTCCTGCCACGGCGCCCTGTTATCAACCATGCGTCGCGATGGCTAGTCAAGCATTCGTTCCGCAAACTATTCAAGAAGAACGTTGAGCCCTTGCCCGTGGTTAAGAGGGTTACCTTCCCTCGTTCTCCATACATTCAACTTGGCGCGATATTTGAGGACGAGGGCACGATCGACGGCGTGTACGGATTGCACGAGACGCTCTTCAAAGACCGACTAGACTTCAAGGAATTCGCCGACCGCTTGGTGTTTGTTTACGGCGATCATAAAACGACGTCGTTCATCCGGCGCATCAAGAACTCACAGCTTGAGTCTGTCGATATATGGGAGCAAAAGAAATGGATGCTTCCTATCCCCGCCTTCTTCCATATCAAGCTCAACTATATTGAGATGCTGTTCCGGGTGTTCTGGGATACCGGTACCAAGACGACCTCCTCCGCTACGATCTCGGCCGACGTTCATTTCTTCCATCGCGGCAAGAATATTACCAAGAAGGACATCAAGTATCACCAGGCGCTACCTCTTCTTATACACGGGTATACGGCTCGGATCTTGGCGTTCATCATTGCGCATCTGATTGAAGAAGGCACACTGCAGGGGCCACTGTCAGTCGACGGCATCTTGAATGCGGTGGAGGCTATGGACGAGGATGACTTTGGGGGTGTATTCGACCACGTCTAGGAGACAGTCTTATCCCCCGCCGCGTGGGCAGGCCGTTATGAGGATACCGAACCCGGCTCTATCGACGTGGAGTTCCGAAACCATTGCCGCCTCATGCAATGCGTTGAGATCCTGCTGATGATGTACGAGGCAGTCCGTGTTGGTGAGTACGGTCTTCTTCGGGAGATCATTCCAATGCTACCTGTCCTCTTCTGGGGAGGAAAAGGATCGAACTATGGCCCAGAGATGCTGTATTTCGCATGGATTCTGCATCCCAGCGTCGCGAAACAGACTGGTCTCGCCGAAGCCATCCTCAAAGGCGGGTTGATTCGCTGTACGACCGCCGGCAGTGGCTACAAAGCCATCGACTTGTTGTTGGAGCACGTCAACGCATCGTATGCGCTCGACGTCAAGTTCAACAAGAACTCCACGCACGATATCCAGGCGACGTTCTCCCGGCTCGCGCTCAATGGCAACTATCTCGCAACTATTCGCAAGTCGGTTGAAGGCGTATTCAGAGCCAAGCAGAAGGGTACTCACACTGCGGGGGACGCGACGGCAGACATCATCTCGTACGCCTGCAAGCTCTACAAGGATGGAATTACGCGGCGCCGGACGGCCGACATCCCACCTGCTGGCTTCGATGCCCCGGATATATACGAACAGGGTCAGAAACAGCTGCTAGCGAAGCTTGCTGACTTCAATGCCGTTGTGCCCGAGCCCAAGGATGCAGCTGATCAGCGGCTGATCCCTGGCGTTGGTACAGGTGGTACAGAAGACGACGAAATCGACTGGCTGGATGAAGGGGAGCGATTGTTCCACGTTACCGAAGATGACTTCTGGCGTGTAGACTTGAATAATCAAGACGACGATGTCGGCGGATTGGGAATTTGAGTGTTCAGGGGTTCAGGGGTAAGAGTATGTAGAACAAATTGAGCGCAAATTTCTGCATGTTACTGTCAAACTGCTTCAAATCGCCGGAAATCGTCTAATTACACTACTTTTACAAATTTGATATCTCAGCGTTTCGATGCTGGCGATATTGATGGTTCTGCCGCCCGCTTGCGGCCTTCATTAGTACCGCTTACTGTGCCGCTTACTGCCTCTGTGCCAGAACCCGACACTATACCAACGCTTCGGCGGGCTGCCCTATCTGCACTCTTCTTCTTCTTGTAAGCATCGCGAGCCTCAATGACTGTAGCGATTGACTCTGTACAGACCGCTACTAGCTCTGGACCACTGGACTGAAGGTGCTCCCACTCTCTAATCGCTGGGAGCTTCTGTACCAGCGACGGGACATCGTTGAACGGGAGCTCTGGCTTTTTGCGGGGGCCCTGCGAAAACAGACGGGCGACGGCATATTGAAGGCGAAGATCCATCCACATCTCGCCCAGTACGTCAAAGTGGCGATGCTCGGCGGGAACTAGCTGTTGCGCCTGCTCCTTGCACCATACCGCCAACCGATCCATCGCGAATGCTGCCAACGAGCCAGTTGTGGGCTTCTCCTGCCCTTTATTCAGCGGTTCAAGTGGTGGGATGCGGCCCAGCGTGCGGTTACAGTTGTGGCCGTTACAACAGAACTCCTTATCAAGTGGTCGCCGATACTCAAGATCCGGGTCGTCTTCGATGCTGGGCTCTTGTAGATAATCTAGCGCGGACTCACGGAAACAACCACTGTTGAGCCAGGATCTGATAACTAGATCCAGTTTCTCTTGCGCAGTGATGTCGTTTTTGCTCCATTTGATACGTTTTTCGAAGTCCCAGAGACCAACGGAGCTGAGGGCGATAGCCTCTTCTTGTTGTTGAGCATTTGCAGCCTCTTCTATGGCTTGCGATGTCTGGCTGACTGGGTTGCTGTTCTGACTGCCTTGACTAGCGATATCGTCATCGTCGCGATCAACAAGAGCCATCTCCCGGAGACGGCTAGCAATGGCGGGCATGTGGGCTTGTTGTTGACGGGCTGGTCGTCTTCTTGGCTGTTTAATCTTTGGTACTGGTTTATCAGTGCTTCCAATATGACTGAATACCCAATAAGGCGCGAATACAACAGCCATCCCGCGAATATATCCCTGTTCCGCCGCCTTTTGCGTGTTACGCATCGCTCTACTAAAGCGCTGCCATAAGTCGGCGAGGCTGGGGGACTTCGGCAAGCCGAACTGAACAACTCGAACGATGTCAGGGATATCCATCCCCATACCGAGGGAGACCGTCGCTAAGACGATACGGCAATCAGAGTCAGATGCCAGGTTGTTGAAGATGATGTTCTTGTCGGCATCACGAACGTCGGCATCGTACCGTTGTATGACCTTGCGAGCAAACTCCTTAGAGAAACTACACTTCTCTTGAGCGTACTTGCATAGAGACCATCGTGCCGCGATCAACCGGGGCTTGCTGTCGATGTAGATGATCGTTTTGGGGATGCTGCGAACCGTGTGGACTGTGGAATCTTCGAGAAGATAATGGAGGCGTCGGAAGTCATTGATATAGCCGCGAACAAGCGGTTGTACAGCGATGGAGATCTCTGGTCGATTGACAGAGGTGCGGATGATCTCCAGACGCCGCAGGTCAAACCCAGCATGCTTAAGAATATAATCCTGATTGTCCCTGTCCAACGTCGCTGTACAGCCAAACCACGGGACCCAACGTGGTAATAGTGACCGCAATGTATGGAGATACGTGAAGTCTGGCCTGAAATCCCTCCACTCGCCAACAATGTGAAGCTCGTCGATGGCGAATAGACCGATCTTTTCGTGGAATTCTGGGCCTCTCAGGATAGACTTGAACTTCGGGTTGACGGCTTGCTCGGGGCTCAAGATAATATGCGTGTAGTCGCCATTGCGAACTTCGTCCCAGATCTTGGGATTCTAATAACTATTAGCATCCAGAGGCTTATATCAGGGGTCAGGGGTAACAACGCTTACTTTGAGGTGCGTGTCGCCGTCAATCCACGCCGGATTCGAATCTTTGACATTGTTCGCAATGTTATCGCGCTGGTTCTCGCCCAGCTTCGTCAGAGGTACGATTTGTACCGTGATCCGGTTTGTCAGGGCGGCGAAGGTGTATAGGACTGCGCTTTTGTCGTATCCAGTGGCGGCGACGAGCACCGTGTCTTCTTTGTCGTATGCCAAACGCCTCACAGCCTTGATCTGACCGTCGCGAGCGCGTTGAGCACCAGTAATTGCGCAAATGGCATCGTTAATGAGCTGATCAGTGTCGCCAAAGTCCATTTTTCACACCCTCTAAGCCGCGCTGACAATGCGCAATTGATGTGGCGATGGAAAAAAGTACGCGGAGGTTGATATATAGTAGGAAAACGTCGCTGTAGATTTTGACGATGTTTGAAGACAGTCTGTTGAATTTGGAGGGGGGTCATCGATCGGATGGAAGTGCGCTGGTCGTAATCCTTTTTTGCTTTGCAACAACAGATCAACAATGCAACGCGATTAAAATAATAAATTTACTACCGTTAGACGCACGCGCTTCGCACCATCCTCCGCTACTAATTACATTTTTGATGTGATGTCTTGGTGTTGAGATATTTACGAGTGTCTGAGACAGGAATTTCCCATTTGTATGGGGGAGCGCTGGTCGTAAGGCCCAGATCCCAAATAATGAACCCAGACCTCTTTCAAAGGCGTTCTTGGTTAAAAGTGGGCCAGATTCTATATAGGACTAGCGCGATACATTTGCCCTGAAATTTGTATGGCAATACGTCTTACGCGCCTTGGCGCGGGTCATTTCGGCTGGAAAACGCAAGAACGCCCAAGAAAGGAGGTCTGGGACTTCCGAGATAACTCACAACCACAAACTCAATCACTTGGCGGGTTACTTCGCTAGCCATCGACGACTTGATCGTACCGACGATGTTGTTGCAAGCATCTTACGGCATGCGACACAGCCAACAAACAGCCATTACGACATCCTCTCCATGATTCGCGCGGAGTTCCCTGATATCTATATCAAGCGGTCCGACATTGGCAACATCATTGCAACGCAAAACTAACTCAAGGCTGGGCCACTTACACCGACACAAAGCTGCATCTATCACTTGCAGACGACACCCGATATCACGTACCGCATTTACCGCCACAACGACACTGTTGATGGGAAGATTGAACGGGTGTTCTGGACCTATAATTAATTGGTGTCTCGAACAGTGGAAAAAGAACCCAGAGGTCTGGTCGCTTGATTGTACTTACAAGATCAACAAGTTCGATATGCCACTCCTTCAGATTTGCGGCCTAACCGCCATGCACACAACTTTCAACGTGGGTTACTGCTTGCTCAGTGGCGAGCAGGGTGAGGATTGTTTTACGTGGGTTCTTAGCGTTCTTCAATCGCTACTTACCGCCAACGAGATCCCACAGCCTCAAGTCATCATTACGGATTACGACAAAGCGCTCAAGAATGCTCTGCGAAGCCTGTTCAACAACAGTGTTTAGTATCAGCTATGCCTTTGGCATATTATGAAGAACGTCGCCTCCAACACAAAAAAGAAGTGGGAGGGAACACTCGAGGGAACTGTACTGGGCGACCGCGGGAGTGCTGGAAGCCACCTTCGCGAGGACGATGTCGATATCAGTACTGCACCTGGGCAGGACTTCCAGATTAACCCAGCCAACTACGATAAGTCGGCCCGGCTAACAGGTATACGCTTACTCGCCGGCGACGACCGCCTTCAACACTTAGATGAGGGCATTCGCAATCCGGAAACTGCGCCGCTAGTTGGCCGCGCGCCAGCGGGTAGTATGCGGAAGTTGCTCGATAATGCGGATGGCTTCCTCGCTGCCTGGGCGGCTGTGGTCTATGCGGATACTGAAGCTGAGTTTTTTAGGGAATAGGATACCTTAAGGAACGAGTTCAGGGACCAGCCTAGTAAGTTTTGCAGCAGGTAACCTGGATATATCTCTAACAGTTGAGACAGGCCTGATCAATTATCTTCGCGATACATACCTCCCTTTACGGCACGAATTCGCCCACTTCTCCATCAAGAACTACCGCAACTTTGGTATACGGGTAACCTCCCGTACTGAAGGTGCCCACGGCTTATTAAAAAAGCTAATCAGCAACCGACTTGTCAATCTCGGCCGCCTCATTAAGGCGATTGAGGAGACCCTCAGTCGCCTACAGGAGAGCTACCGCGCCAACCTCCACGACCAGAGCTCCAGGAAGGTCAGGAAGTATAGCCACCGCGTTATGTCGCGGTTTAGATACGATGTTGGCTTCGTAGCTCTGCGTTTGATTAACGAACAACTCCAAATCGTGGAGGCTGCAGAGAAGGCAAAGAAGCCTCTATCAATCTGTACAGGCGCGTTCAACCGCCAGTTCGGTCTACCATGTGCGCATACAATCGCTGGTCTTGCGCGGGCGAATGCGCAGATCGAGCTCGGACATCTGAACGGGCACTGGTGGTTGAAAAGGGACCGAGTAAGTCGGCTTCTCAGGTTATTTATATAGAAAACTAACTGTTCTAGCCCTTAGACCCCGACTTCCTTCCCCTCCTTAACGAAGCTGACCCCGAGCGTGTTGTCAACCATCGAAACCGCGTTTACAACGGCCCACGGCCACTTCCAGAAGAGGAGGGAGGGCGCATTGATACAAGCAGTCGACGCGTGCCATCGCATGACGAAGCCCCGCACCCTCGTAAGAAGGCTAAGAAGCCTACAGTTGCCCAGCTCAACGCTCAACAACACAAATTCAGGGGTTGCAAGAGCAACTAACTGGGATAACCCAGGCGTTAACAACCCTTACACAGGCGCAGGCGGCTCAGCGGTTACTACCGTTGTCCCAGATACCCGCGCCAACGTCAACACCAGTGTATGCAAGCCAGCAACAGCCTCCTATGCAGGACCAGTACGGTTACCGGGGCGGGGGGCGAGGGGGGGCGCACGCGCAACCGCCAAGCCAACTCCCCTATTACGTGGCACCGCCAACCATCAACGGCTTCAATGCGATGCCACCGCAGGGCGCGCAGGCGCAGGCACAGGCACAGGGCTGGTATACAGGGCAGGGCGCACAGGCACAGGGCTGGCAGACAGGGCAGGGGAGGTAGGCGGTCTGGGCTGGTAGTAAACCAACTTTATTTCAGTTTGTTGAATCTGATTTTTATTGCGTTTTTGAGCGATTCAGCCAGAGCCAGTTTGATTCGCATCGCGTTGCAGTTGACGAAGTTTGAAAGATTGATTGATTGACCCTGTTGGTTCGGTGGCCAGTGGCTGGCTAAGGTGCGTTGCCGCAAAATTTTGGTGGGCTTTGTTTAATTAGGCCTAGTTACTCCGTCGTTTTAGAGTTTCACTCCGTGCATTTAGTAGCTCCCGGGTTGAATATTGTGTTGTTGCTAGCTGGACTCATGCCAAATGCGGTGGAAGCTGCGTTTCTGCCCCATATCTAACGGATGGTTCAACTAAAGGGTTGGTGTTGCGACAATCGGATAAGCAATCCACAGTCCTGGCCGCATGCCCTTGTTTATCGTAGCAAGACACATGCCCCGATAATATTGAACGAGGTGACAGCCTGAGTATCACAGGCCTCGGGATAAGAAACCACGGAACAGGTCGGATGGCTGGACACAGTGCGTAGGTAGGCTGCACTACGAGTGTACGCACGGGCGCAAGGACCGGAACAACCACTTGGACAAGCTCATGAGTTTTACGACGATATGGTACGGATCCGGGAACTTCGGCGGTAAGTGCATGGCCCAGAATATTGAAGATCTCCGCCAGAAATAGTACAACATGGGGACAAGGATAACTGAAACTTAGCAACTTATCCTAGCGACTGTTACGGCGAGATCCTACGCTCGAACTTCGCCAGTGGGCTGCCGTCTTCCAAGCGTGCCCTACAAGAAGCGCCTGGTGGACCTGTAAACCTCCTTGTACCCTTTGTATGCGTCGCGAGTACCATTCTGCTGGTGGCTGACGCCATCCCAACGTTCGGTTGTCGTCCCGCGCCACTGCTCAGTGCCCATGCCCATATTGTCCCAGCCCGTGGCATGGGTCTCGCCGATGAGACCGGGCCTGGCACCATTGCCCCAATGGCGCGGACGTTGGTTGTCGTTGATGAAGAGGTCTCGGCGCGCAAAGGTCTGCGGGGAAGCGTGGTCGTACCCGGCCGGCCCCGGCAGCGGACCCCAGCTTCTGTTCGTGTTGGTGTAGGTCGGATAGGGCGCAGTGGCGAAAGACTGTGCGGACTCCGTCGTGCTTTGCGGGGTCTCCCTTGCCCACTCCGACGCGGGTTGCCCCCGAATCCGCCGCCTCATTCTCTCCGTCTGCGCCTCCGCCTCTGAATCGGCCATCATCCGGCCCACGGCAGCCCCCAATCGCCTCTGTTCCCTCCCCGCATGTTCCATTTCCATCAGCTTCCGCGTCGTCTCCGACATGATGGACTCCTCCATTGCCTTGGCAATGGCCGCCTCCTCCAGCTCCCGAGTCTTCTTCATCGCCTCCTTCTCCAGCTGTGCCTTGAGCCTGGCTTTCTCCAACGCCCTCTCCCGCTCGGCCCTCATCTCCTCTTCCATCCTCGCCCTCATCTCCCTCTCCAACCGGAAGCTCATGTCCCTCTCCGCCTGAGTCATCTCCGCCTCCAGCAGCTCCCTCCTCTCCGCCGCCCTCTCCGCCAGCTTCTTCTCAATCCTCTCCCTCTCACGCCTCGCCTCCATTTCCACAGCCAGTCGACTCTGCTCCGCTAGCGCCTGGCGCTCCGTCTCCTGCCGACGCGAGAGATCTAGCGCCAGACCAAGGGCAGCCGCTTCGGTCAGCCCGACGTTGGTGTACTGGGATGTGTCCATGGTGTGTGTCTTGTTCTTGTTCCTGTGCTTGGGCCTTGGCCTTGGTCTTGGTATCGGCGGTGCGGATGGGGAGGGTCGTGGTGGTGAAGGTTGTGGTGTCAACGGTTGCCGTGGCTGTGGCCGTGGCTGTGGCCGTGGCCGTGGTCGTGGTTGTCGTGGTGTGGGTATGTGTAGGGATCGGGGTCTGGGTCGGGATCACCTCCGGGGAGGGGTTGCAGTGGAGGAGCTTGCGGGTCTGGATGTCGTCGAAAGTCCAGGTGTCGCGTTGGTTCAGCGGGACGTCATTGGCGCAGTGCATACTGGGCAGCGTTAGTCGTTGTCCGTTGTGCCAGGAGAATAGACAGGGGGTGTACTAACGTGCGTGGATGGGTGTTGGGGTTGGAATTGGTGTCTTTCGCCTTGGGGTGTCGGCGGGTAGTCTTTCTTCGACGATGGTGGCGGTGTGGTTGAGTTGTGGATGGGACGAGCGAGAGCGAGTTGCGGTTGCTCGGTGGACGAGAATAGATCAATCCCATCTGCTTCCTGTGGCTGATGGAGGTCTTGATGAGGAGGAAAAGGGGAGAGCTTCTGGAAGGGGGTGTAAGTGGACCATGGAGAATACAGGACGTCGCCAAACCTAAGGGCCTTATCCAGCTTTCTCACCGCTTCTTGTCTAGCCCAGGTGCAGTCCGGAACTGTTCCCGGTCCAGCAAAGAGTGTGACAGAAGAATGAAGTTTGTTTCGGCTTTCATTGTGGTTGAAAGGCGATGTCCCAGACACACCACCTGCAGCGAAGGCCGCATCTGCATAGCGACAGCCTGGCCAGCTAGAGCCATGGGGACCCAGAGTACCCTGCATGACTGTTTTCTCGCCAGTATCCAAGAATCCTAAGGCAATGACTCCCAAAGAGTTCCTTGTCAGCAAGCTTCTACAGCCACGGTGGACTGAGACATTTGTCTGTCTTGGTGATTTTTGAAGATTGGCAAACACCAAACCACCACAAGCGACAAGGCTGAAGAGGGAGGGGTCTGGCCGCCTGGGGCAACGAGTGACAACGTTGGAACGGGAACAATCAACGGCTGCAAAGCGGGGCAGGGCTCATGATTTGACGGCGGACCGCGTCAATCACGAGCTTCTGAGACTGGAATGGGCCATTGCTTTCTTGTGTCCCTTGCGTCCGTGTTGCAAAGGTACCGGAACGACTATTGCTGCCCTGCAGCATGTCGGGGAAATACAATGCAGGAAATGTGTCTTGGCCTGACCGTAGCTAATTAAGTCATGGCAAAGAACAGGGACTGTCCCACCACCGGCCAGCAAGATCGAAAAGAAAGTCGAAGGTGGGCGGCACCATTAGGTTGGGATGGTGTGTTGATGGAAACATCCCACTTCCTGCAGCTTTAGGCAGAGGACTTCGAAGAAAATTTGGCAAAGAACCTGACAAACGGCCGTTTGTTTTGACAAGAGCTGGTTTGGGAAGGAGCAAGCAATTCATTCATATGCTGCAGCCCCTGAGAGCGCAAGCAGTTAGGGGTTCAAGCCATTCTGCAGGGGAAAGAGGCTTTGCTTGGCATTCTCCACCCACCACAAGCGATCTTTGAAACAGCAGTCCCTCCCTGCCTTGTCAACCCCCGCTTCGATGTGGCAATAACATCAATAGCGTCAGTGGTTTAGTGGTAAAATCCATCGTTGCCATCGATGGGCCCCGCGTTCGATTCGCGGCTGACGCAACAAGTATGTTGGGAAGCATCGAGTGGATGCTCTCCTCTTTTGCAAACTCCTGGGTCATCATCCAAACTCAAAATTTTTTGGTGGGGCAGGGAGCTGATTTTTGGACCCCGCCACGACCCACAGAAGAAAAAGTGAACAACCCCAACCTCACAAAGGTGCGGAGGGCAAAAAATACATCAGAACTCGGATACCGGGAGTCGAACCCGGGGCTGTTGAGAGAGCAGTCACTCCTGAGAAGTGAGAGTCAACGATGTTACCGCTACACCATACCCGATTTGAATCGTGTGTGGTCCCGAATTGTTGGAGGAGTGACGCAATGGTCAGGTACATGAAGGTGATTGGCAGGGTGGCAAACCAGAAACAGTGGAGCGGCGGGGAAAACAGAAGTGTGCCAAGGAAACAAGGAAACATTGAGGGGAACTGGCGCTGGCTGATTTTGTCATCGCACTTTGACACCAAACCACGAAAACGCGGTTGGCATGACGTCAGTTTGTGGCCAGTTGTGGTTGAACGGTTCGTTCCACGAAAGAAAACAGCCACACAGACACATGACGATGATGGCATTGCATCACTTAGGCACGCGGCCATGGCCGCCAGCCGGCAAAGCAGGTTCTGGGAAGGGGGCGATCGTGTAACAAAACCTTCAAATGCTACCAAGTCCCTGTTGAACTTGGAGCGACGAGTTCGAGATTACTCCTTTCTCTCCAAAGCTTAACCTTATCACCTTTGCCGTTTGTCGCTTTGCTATCAGCGCGCCCAGTTGTCTCGCCTGCCCATCGAGGGGGCAACAGAGCACACCGACCATAAATGACAATACAAGCATACACCTTCACGCCATCATGTTGCCCTTCCACAGGCGCGAGGCCCGTAGCGAACCGGCGCCCCCGCCAACCGACAAGAGTCCCCGTTATCCGGTTGTGCGGGAGCGTTTTGTGCCGTTTGTGATTGACTGGGTTAAGGTCTCGTGGCGGGACATCCTCGCCATGGCCATCTTCGGCGCAGCCACCCTCGGTGTACGTCCTCGTCCACTCCCTTCGCCGGAGACAAAGTCGCTAACACGTAACACAGATCTACAGCGCCCCCTACGCTGCGACCCGAAACTTCCCCATAACCTTCGACGCCTCGGGCGATATCGTTTACCCCCAGTTCGCCTACCCTAACCGTGGCTGGATCATCTCCCCGTCCATATCCGGTGTCATCGACACCATCATCCCCATCGGCATCATGGCCCTCGCCCAGCTCCGCATCCGCTCCTTCTGGGACTTCAACAATGCTGTGCTCGGCCTCCTATACTCGCTCATCCTGAGCTCCCTCTTCCAAGTCATCATCAAGACACTCATTGGCGGCTTCCGACCCATCTTCCTCGACGTCTGCCAGCCCGACCCCTCGCTCGCCCGCGGCCACAACGCAACCGGCCTCAACGGCGTCGGCTTCCATAGCATCATGTACACTAGCGAGATCTGCACCAACCCGGACAAAAACGCCGTCAAGAACGCCATGACCTCTTTCCCCTCAGGCCACGCGACCACGGCCTTTGCCTCCTACGTCTTCCTTTTCCTCTGGATGAACGCCAAGCTCAAAGTCTGGGCCAACTTCCACGCCAGCTTCTACTGGCTGGCGGCGCTGCTCGCCCCGCTCCTCGGCGCCACGCTCATGGCGGCCTGCCTGACGGTGGACCAGGCGCACAACTGGTACGACGTCTGCGCGGGGGTGGCCATCGGCACCGTCGTGGCCTTCATGGTCTACCGCGTCAGCTACGCTGCCGTGTGGGACTGGCGCTTCAACCACATCCCGCTGCGCCACCGCGCCGTGTTTGACTATGCCGCCGCCGCCGCCTCCGCTTCCTCCGCCGAGGTGATGGAGCGGGCCGTGTTTGTGAGGAAGTTAGGGTGGGGCCGGCGCCGGAGGGCGAGGGCCGGTGCGCGTCGTGGCGGGGTGGGGAGGGGGAAGCCCGCGGTGGAGAGTATGGAGGCGTCCGCTGATGGTGGCGGGGATGCGGTGACGTATGGGAATGGGATGGCGTCACATGGACCGCCGGTGAGCTACCCTGATCCAGCTACCGTGAGGTCCAATGGAGGGCAATATTATGGAAGAGGGGAGGAGATGGTTTAATTGTTCCTATACTATTTAATCCTGTCCGGAGGACAATATTACGCTCAAACTTTTGGAAATTACTATGGGAAATTGATAAGCAAAAATTACTACGGGAAATTGATAAGCAAAAATTACTACGGGAAATTGATATCCTTATCGCGATGGCCGATTGGTTCGTGAGCACGCTGCACTCGATGTTGGTCACGTGCCTCATTGGCTCTGCCGAAACTGCTTCATCTCCGTGTCCTCGCAACGGACTTCCGCAAAGTCGCTTCGAGGACCGCCACCCGCGAAAAGACGAACGAGCATTCGAAAAATAAGGGAGAGGTTCATCGGCGAGAGGCGATCGAGACCAGGAAGCTTTTGTGAAAGTCGGGCGGCACTGCAAAGGGACTGCAAGATGGCGGCGGAGGCGCAGCCCCAAATCGTGGTCGAGGTGGCCGACCAACCACCTTCGCCGAGACGACCGAGCCGCGCGTTGAAACCGAGCGCGAAAGCTCGCGAAGCCATGCAATCGCTCGAGGACGTGGCTACCACGTCGAGGAGAGCGGCGAGCGAGACCACGCGGGCGGTTACGACGCGAGGAGCACGCGCGTCTGGGATTTTATATGGAGCCAACAGCCGGATCGAGACGGGGAAGTCAGGTATACAGATGCTCCTGGAGGCGATCAACGAACAACGAGACGAAATGTACCGAATGATTACCGAGCAGCGAAACACGATTGGCGAACTACGCGAGGTGATTTGCAAGCAGCACGACGCGATTCAAGAACTACATCGCCAACTTGCAGACACCAGGACCCAGCTTTCTGAAGAACTGAGACAAGCGCGGGATCAGATTGATACCCTTCAACGCCACCCGGTAGCCATGGCTTCGTCCCAACCAAGCGCAAGAGGGTCATACGCCGAAGTCGCTCGCACCCCACCATCAAGCCAGCCAAGCGGTGTGCGCACCCTCTCCTCGCGAAACACGACGCCTTCATCCTTTACCGACACGTTGTTCTGTACGATCGATACATCTAGGGTGGAGGAGAAAGAGAAGGGAAACGTCCAGGTGGCGGACATTAGAAAGGCAATCGAGACAGAGGCCAGGGCACAGGAAAGCATGAAAGACTGGCGTTGCGCTGCGGTTGTGAAGGAGGCCCGAAACCCGGACCGAGTCAGAGTAATTTGCAGGGACGAAGGCCGAGGTCCAGCTCGTCAAGGAAGCGGCAGTGAAGATCAGTGTTCCTGGAGTGCGGGTATTTGAGAGACCAGTTGTACCCGGTGAGGGTAGACAATGCCAACCGAACAGCGGTCCTCGATGCGGACGGAAACATCCTGCCGGGAGCCGCAGAGGCGCTAGGGACAGAGAACGACGTCAACATTGCGAAGATTGCCTGGCTCAGCAGGAAGGATACAAGCAAGGCCTACGGCTCGATGGTTGTCTACGTGACGAAGGGCAGCGAAGCAAGGCGACTTCTAGACGGGCGTTACTTCCATCTCGCCGGAGAATCCGCTTACACGACCGTCTTCGCGCCCCGGGAAGGCCCAATCCAGTGCTACAGATGCCAGGAGATCGGCCATAAGGCCTTCGCCTGCAAAAAGCCGCAAAGATGCGGAAGGTGTGCGGAACAGGGTCACCACCACAAGACGTGTCAGTCCGTGGTCCTGAAGTGCGTGCTATGCAGAGGACCACACGAGTCATTTAGCAAGAACTGTCGGGTACGCTGGTTGAACAATGGGGCCCAAGACGCTTAAGATCCTTCAGCTCAACGTCCGCAAACGGAGAGAAGTGCAGCAGAGTCTGCTAAACGACGAGGGACTCAAGGACTTCGCAGTGCTGGCCATCTCCGAACCATATGCCAGGCTGATCGAAGGCTCGGTGACGACGGTCCCAATGAGTCATCACAACTGGACGAAGCTTATACCAACGACAAGACGAGAAACCACGTGGCCAATTCGGAGCATGCTATGGGTACGAAGCGATATAGAGGTCGAGCAGATTCCAGTGCCGTCGGCAGACCTCACCGCAGCACGCATTCGGCTCCCAGATCGGGCAGTGCTGATGGTGTCAGTGTATGTGGAGGGTGGTAGTGACGAAGCACTGGAAGATGCAATGAGGGAAATTGACCGACTGATTAGGAGGTTTCGAAACGGAACAGGGACGAGAACGGATATCATCCTGGCGGGCGATTTCAACCGCCACGACCAGCTTTGGGGAGGGGACGATGTCTCACCACGGAGACAAGGCGAGGGAGACCGCATCATCAACCTCATGGACGAACACTCCCTCTGCAGCCTCCTCCCAAGAGGCACGAAGACGTGGCAGTCAGGCGACATTGAGAGCACAATCGACCTGGTACTGGCCTCTGCAGAACTAGCAGACCAACTACTCAGATGCGCGATTCACCCCTGCGACCATGGCTCAGACCACAGAGCAATCGAGACAGCTTTTGACACCTCGGTGGAGGACCGTCCCAGTGAGACGAGGTTCCTCTTCAAGAACGCGCCCTGGGCGGAAATTAGGACTAGGGTGGCAGCAAACCTCGAACGCATCCCCTGGGACGGCAATGTCCAGCAGCAGACGGACAGGCTCATGGCAGCGGTAACCGAGGCGGTCTACGGCCTGACACCTAAAGCCAAACCCTCACCATACGCCAAGCGGTGGTGGACAACGGACCTGACACGGCTTCGCCAGACATACACGTTTTGGAGAAACCAGGCGAGATCTCGACGTAGGATTGGGCAAACAGCACCAGAGCTCGAACAACGAGCCAGGATGGCAGCCAAAGAGTACCACGACGCCATCCGCAGACAGAAGAGTTCGCATTGGAACGACTTCCTGGCCGATGACGCTAACATCTGGCAAGCAACGAAGTATCTGCAAACCGGCAGCGGCACGATGGGCGATAAGATACCCCCGCTCGTCCGACCCGATGGCTCCATCACGGAGGGTAAAGCAGAACAAGCGCAGGAGTTACTCACCGCCTTCTTCCCACCTTTGCCAGCGAGAATCGAAGACGAGGGCCAACGACCTCAACGGGCGCCGGTACACATGCCAGACCTAACAATGGAGGAGATAGAACAAAAGGTCCTGTCCGCTAAGCCATGGAAGGCGCCCGGGGAAGACGGTCTACCGGCAATGGTATGGAGACAGCTCTGGCCAGTGGTCAAAGACAGGGTGCTCCATTTATTCCGGACGTCGCTTCGAGACGGCGACATCCCCAGCCAGTGGAGGAATGCCAAGATCATCCCATTGAAGAAGCCAGGGAAGAGCGAATACACTCTAGCCAAGTCCTGGAGACCCATCTCGCTGCTCTCCACGCTGGGTAAGATACTGGAGGCAGTCATTGCGGAGCGTTTATCCCATGCTGTGGAGACCTGCGGCCTTCTACCCGCCAACCACTTCGGAGCCAGGAAGAGACGCTCGACCGAACAGGCTCTCCTTCTGCTTCAGGAACACATCTACAAAGCATGGAGAGCTAGGAAGGTGCTCAGTTTGATCAGCTTCGATGTCAAGGGCGCATACAATGGGGTCTTCAAAGACAGGCTTCTCCAGAGGCTCAAGGCAAGAGGGATACCTGAACCCCTGGTCAAGTGGATCGACGCCTTCTGCTCCAAGCGCACAGCGACCATTGCCGTAAACGGGTTCACATCTGGACGGCAAGAGCTGCCCCAAGCGGGTCTTCCGCAAGGATCGCCGCTGTCTCCAGTGTTGTTCCTCTTCTTCAACGCCGACCTAGTGCAGCACAAGATCGACGCGAACGGAGGCGCAATTGCCTTCGTGGACGACTACACTGCCTGGGGTAACGGGCCCGTCAGCGGAGTCGAACCGCACTGGAATCCAAGCTATCATCGACAAAGCCCTTAACTGGGAGAAACGGAGCGGTGCGCAGTTTGAAGGCGAAAAGACAGCCATCATACACTTCACGAGGAACATGGAGCGATTTTCAGAACAACCGTTCTCGGTCAAAGGCGAAGTGGTCAAACCGAAGGAAAGTGCGAAAATCCTAGGTGTCGTGATGGATCGCGAAGTCCGCTACAAGCAGCACATTGCTAGGACGGCAGCTAAGGGCCTCGCAGCCGCTCTGGCCCTGAAGAGGCTGAAGATGCTTTCCCCGCGGACAGCGAGGCAGCTATTTGTTGCGACAGTAGCCCCGGTCATGGACTACGCTGCCAATGTCTGGATGCATGCGTGCGGGGAAAAGGCACTGAGCTGGCTGAACAGGGCGCAGAAGATCGGGGCCCTGGCCATCACGGGAGCCTTTCGAACCGCGGCAACAGCCGTGGTGGAAGCTGAAGCGAGCATCTACCCCGTACGAGAACGACACGCCCAGGCAGCAGCCAGTCTGTGGATCAACATCCACACGCTGCCCGGAACGCATCCCCTTGCGATGAAGAAAGTCCGGACCACCGTACGATTCGTATCTCCGCTGCAGAAAATTGCCCGTGTGGCCGAAGGAGTACGAGTTGACCGGATGGAGACAATCCAGGAATACGCCGTCCCGCCCTGGGTACCTCGCCTACGACCGACGCTCGAAGCCGATCGAGGGAAGGCGGCCGAGATGGTCAACAAAATTTCGGGAATCGTGATCGCAACCAGCTCATCCGTAAAGAAGGGCATTGTGGGCATGGGCGGCCTTGCACGGGATACTCTCTTCAACAGAACTAGCGAGACTGTGACAAACTATGCTGTTGTTCTTGGGACAAGGGAAGAGCAGAACCCATATACAGCAGAGCTAGCAGCCATCGCAATGGCCCTGGAGAAGTTACCGGCTAGCATCTGCCACAGGCACATCACCGTGATCACTAGGAACCAGTCAGCGCTGGCAGCAGTTGGACAGCCGCGGCAGCAATCCGGCCAAAGCATCATACGGCAAATCTACGACTTGGCCAGGCTGCACCGACAAAGAGGGAACTCGGTCAACTTTCTGTGGATACCAGCGGAGATTGACTTCGCGCTGGGGTCAGATGCCAAGGCAGCAGCCCAGAGAGCGTCGAAGCAAGGACGCACACCCGACTCCCAAATACCCCAGGCCAAGTCTACCGCGATGAGGCTGGCAATGGAAAGACAACGGGCGACAAGAGTTCTACCTGTAAGCGTGGGCAAGTTCTCAAAGGCCATGGACGCAGCACTACCAGGCAAGCACACGCGCCATCTCTATGACAAGCTGAAGCGAAGGGAGGCCTGCGTATTGGCGCAGCTCCGAACCGGAATGGCGAGACTGAACGGTTTTTTAGAGCAGGATTGGGGCGGTCGAGTCAGACCTTTGTGCCTGTGGACAAGCGAGGGAATCAGTGGAACACTTTCTTTTCCGATGCGTGAAATGGGACAGCTCTCGAGGGAAGACATGCTGCAATGCACAGGGGCAAGACAGAGGAAGCCTCTTCGTTCTATCTGGGAGGGAAAGCGCCATTCAGATACAAGGCATTGGTCACCAGATATGAAGGCAGTCCGGGCGACGATCAAATACGCAATGGCAACAGGAAGGCTGGAGCTGAATGAGGAGGAGAGTCTAGACCAGTCACAGTAGAAGAAGCCGACACTCAACACCACGAGCCTCAACCACGAGCCGGTTAACCAGCAGGTCCCGCTTTAGCTGCTGAAGATAGGACGCTGAACACTTGGAGAAAGTAGCCTCCAAGTTGATCTGCTAACAACAACCAAGGCAAGAGGTAAATGGTGCAGCGAGAGAAAGAGGGAAGAAGTAGGGGGCTTGTACGAGTTAAAGGCAAACCGATTTGATCCGGATGTAGTTAGCGTGCTAAGGCCCTATAGGCCCAGTGCCTCCGGGCGAAATAAATTCCATCCATCCATCCAAAATCCGACCTCGCATCATTTCGTAAATGGAAGAACAAGAACCAACTGAACCACGAAGGGGGCTTGTACGAGTTAAACGCAAAACGATCTGATCCGGATGTAGCTAGCGTGCTAAGGCCCTATAGGCCCAGTGCCTCCGGGCGAAATAAATTCCATCCATCCATCCGTGTCCTCGCAATCCGCTCGACAATCGCGAACATCGCGGTTCTCGCCGTTTCCACGTCTACCGCTTTTCAAACCTAGGCCTTTCCATGGAAGACGTGATAGTCGTTCTGGGCGGCACTGCCGAGGCCGCTGCGGAGACAGCCGTGACACGCAAGTCGTGTACCAAATGCAATACTGAGTAGAACATTGACCAGTTCCTCCATGCCCGCGGGAACGGAAGGATTGTTGTCAACTGTCTAAGTTGCCGGCACAAGAAGAAGCTTCATGTGATATCCCCTAGTTAAGGTAACCGATAGTCGTTTCTTCAGCTAACCTTCGCAGATTGAAGCGTCGCGAGCGAGCATCGAGATTTCTCGCGCAATCGCCCGCGGAGAAAATTCTCTTTGATGAACAATCTAATCGGAGAGAGGGACTACTCTGCGCAGGAGATCTGCCATATCCTCCTGGGACTCCCTCTCCAAGAGGATAGCCGAGTGGTCCAGAGTGTTGACTGTAGACCCCGCGAGAGGCATGCTCGCCCAATCGACATCGCGGCTGATGGCGATATCCAGGAGTCTCAGACAGCATACGAGAAGTATCTTCGGCGGCCTGGCTCAATGGATGACGTCTCCTACTTTGAGTTCCTGCAAGACTGGAACTTCAAGGCGCGGAATCCGGCGAGGTGGGCGATCTGGCAGCCTCCTGCAATGCCCAGGGTGTTGTATTATTACCCCCGGTACAAAGCCGGTCCGTTCCCATCAGCAGTACTCTGACTTCTGCCGCGTCAAGCTGCTCCTGAACCACCCCCATCGCCAGTCGGAACAATTGCTCGAGGTTGATGATCTGCAGTTTGACAACTACACTTCCGCATATCATTACTGTCTCGAGCACCACGACCACCAGGACGACCACTACGGTACTGTCGACGAGCCCGATCCGCTGCCGGAAGAGGATGAATTCGAGCGAGGGGAGGATGCTGGGGACATCACACTTGAGGATTGGCAGGAGGTGGCCCGGCTGGTCCCCGCCCTCCAACTTCCCGAAGAACCAGCCGACTTGCTTGGACGCCGAGACATTGATGTCAATTGCGACTGGACACGACACATTGGTCGCTACTCGCACGACCAGTTTGGTACCGGAGGTTACTGGGTGCAACTCCGTGGAGACGCTCCAAGTAATTACGACGTGGAAGAGATGCCCCTCGCAGCCCGTGACACGTTGAACACGCAGCAGCGGCAGGTATACGACACGGTCATGCGCCACTACAGAGCCAAGAACGAGAACCGTCAGCCTCCGCCCCTTCGTCTACAGATCGACGGAGGAGGTGGGACTGGAAAGTCGTACATGGTGAAGGTGATCTCTTCTCATCTTCAGGCCGAGGCAGCTTCCTATGGCCGAGTTTCCCCCATTGTCAGGGCGGCCCCGACGGGCGTGGCGAGCAACCAGATAGGGGGACAGACTCTGCATTCCCTTCTGCGGCTCCCCGTCGACGGAAATTACCGCTCGCTCTCCGAGACCCCGACGACCCTCAACGCCTTGCAGCGGCGGTTCAGGGGCATCCACTACCTCGTGATTGACGAGAAGAGCATGCTCGGCCTCAAGACCCTCGCGTGGATCGACCAGCGCCTACGAGAGGTGTTCCCGGAGAATCGCGACGAGTTCTTCGGCGGCCTCAGCGTCATCCTGATCGGGGACTTCTTCCAGCTTCCCCCTGTTCTGAACAAGCCGCTGTATTCAACGCGCGACGACCTGAAGGATATCGAGATGGTCGGGCGCAACGCATACCTCTCGTTCGACAAGTCCGTGTTCCTGACCACAATACAGCGGCAGCAGGGCGAAGACCAGGCTCCTTTCCGGCGGGCCTTTGAAAGAAACTGCGAAATGGCTGATGTGTCAGGTATCCTCCTGGGAGCTCCTTTCTTCGAGACGTTCTGTCCAAGCCCTCTACCCGAGGAGGTTGACAGCTTTGCCGATGCGCTTCGCATCTATCCCACCAAGAGCCAGGTCGTCGAGTACAACCACCAACACATGCTTGGCCTGGACAGCCCCGCCATTCAGGTCGAGGCAAAGCATGAGGGTGTTGGTGCGGAGAAGGTTGAATCCTCAAATGCCGGCAACTTGGCCAAGCGCTTGCCCTTGTGTGTTGGTTGCAGGGTGATGCTGACGCGAAATTTGTGGGCCGAAGTCGGGCTCGTCAACGGCGCACAGGGCACAGTCTACGACATATCCTGGAAAGAAGGTACCGACGTGCTGCGAGACCCGCCCTAGGTCATCATGGTGGCCTTCGATGACTACGACGGCCCGGCCTTCACGATGCCGAACGGGGAGCCGCTCCGTAGTGGAGAGAAGCTGGCTGTTCCCATCCTCCGAGTGCGGCAGGACTTCATGGTCGGCGCCGACTCATGTTCAAGAGAGCAGTTCCCGCTGTTGGTCAGCTATGCGATCACCGTCCACAAGTCACAGGGCATCACCCTGGACAAGGTTGTCTGCGACATCTCTGCGCCAGAGTTTGCTTCTGGCCTCTCCTACGTGGCCGTTTCGCGGGTGAAGACACTCGGCGGGGCTGAATGTTTGAGCGGCCCTTCGAACGCAGCAGGATCTACCGCGAGACACCATCACCAGCTATGGGGTTGAAGTTGTCCGATCACGCTACCAGGCAACTGCAGGCGTTAGATGCTGTGGCGGGGGAGGTTCCCTCAGAGTCTAATTGATTTGTAAGTAGCGAGGACGTGAGTGTAGATACGTAACGTGAGTGGCGGGATAGAAACGATTCGTAGATGGCTCAAGTAGATGGAGTTGCTGGCCGACGGACAGATATTGGCGGCTTCGTCTCTCCCGTGATTAACCCTAACCCCGATTGTCCTCCGGAGAGGGACAGGAAAATTGCCAGGAGCGGGAGAGAGGAAGGAAGCGCCCCGTAGCGTAGCGAAGGGCCGCGCGACTGACGAACGAAGCGACGCCAGCAATTTTATGTACTGTCTTGCTTTGAGCTTTTTACGGTTTCCTAGGCGTTTCGTACGGGACGGGTAAGGTACTTCTTGGGCTGGGAGTTGCAGAACAACTTGGGCCCTTAGACTTCAGACGACCACATTCACATCATGACGTTATTCAACCAGAGCTAAAAAAAACTCCTTCATCTCCCAGCCATCCCACAACCAACTTACACTATACAATTCGTCGTTCATCGTCTTACATCACATTTCATGGGCAACGTTAGTAGCACGAGCGTACCCGCGATGCCAGCCCAGCGTCGACAAAAGCCGGTCCGAAACCGCCGCCAACAAAAAGCGACACGCAGGAGCCAACGGTTGGCTGCTAGAAGGGCAGTTACCGGTGACGGTGATGGTCCTAATGCGGCATTGCAAAATGGTGCAGAGGAAATTGTATGTATACCTCAATATACACTATCTGCCTCAGAGCTACTGGTTTAACTGATGGGCCTTCAGGTATCTCAGAGCCCTTCGTGCTCAACCTTCCATCATGGCGAGGGAACCCCACCTGAGGTTGGTGGCGACGGGGTTACTGCAGAAATCGACGAAATGGATGTGGAGTAAGTCGTATGTCCTAGCATATCACACCGTGCTCCCCGAAGGCACTAACGTACCTTTAGTTATCTCAACCGCGCGCGCACTCCACCTCGCTTATCGAAGGACTCCCATCCGAGCTCGTCCTTCTCATCGGCAAGCAACTGCCCGTGGAATCGCGCATCACGCTCGCGTTGACGAGCCACATCATGATGTTCAAGTCTGGCGGGATCGGCGCCGGCACTAACAATATTGCATCAGACGAGAATCCCCGTGGTCAGTTCTACACCCCCCACTCTCCACAGACTCCACGAATGAGGCTCCTGGCGCTGCTTGAGCGTGAATCGCTGTTCCTCACGCGGTGCGATTACTGTAGGATACTCCACTCGCCATCAATAAGCCAGGACAATGCTCTCTTGAAGTGTTGTAAGCCTGAGTACTCTTTCACCCGGAATTTCCTGGGACGCTGGGGTTCCACCCTGATCACGCTGCCTTTAGTCCGGCGTGCCGTCATGTGGGAGCGCCAGGGACTCTATGCAGACTCGCTCCTTCCCATTGTTAGACGCAGCATCACTAACCAGGCTGGCGACCGCAGCCCATACCGTACCGTTTGCACTTGCCAGGCCCGTGTATGTGGCGGCTCAGTTGTTGTGAAAACTCAGCTCTATGTAACACGGAAAACCGCTCGCTCAGATAGAGTCTTTCCCACTGCCCGCGAGATCGTTGCTCTGGACTAGGTCTTCGTTTCTAATGCAGTACCCTGGGCGACTCGTCTTAGCAACGCCTACGCCCTAACGCAAAAATATAAAACACGCGAGTGTTTAGCTAGGGGGAACCACGAGGTGGCACACTATGTGGCCGCTATCAACTGCCACCGCGACGACGTTGGGCCCCCTGCCAGCCAGCTGGACCCCGTAATGTGATGCATATGGACGCACAAGGCCCCTTGCCACGCAGCCGCGTGCCGCAAACGAAGGACCTTCTCTGGCCACGTCAACGGCGACCTCGACGACTTTTTTGACTACTCGGCCAGCTCCATCACCACGACAGACCCCCGTAACCCTTGGAACCGGGTCCTCGTTTTTACTAGCTGGCGTGACCTCGGGAACGGGGATTCGGCGATGAATACGAAGTGGGTGGCACGGCCGCAGAATATAATAAAAATGGCGGCTCATGATTTTCGCGCCCGCACCGGAAGTCGGATTGGGGACGCGTATGAAGCGTTCGAGGGTGCCGCTGAGGGCACCCCCTACGTGCCCAGAATTCCGCGGAGCGTGGCGGAGACGCTGTTTTCGCCGGGTGGGTAGCTGGTATGCAGGGAGGCGATGTGGTGAGGTGACGAAAAGTTCTCATAACAAGGCATAGTCTGCAACAGATTGACGATCAGTTCGGGTTGAATTTATTCGGTTAGCTGCCTGACAACAAGACATACGTTTTACAAATCCTCAGTGGCCAGGAGTTCCTTTCCATGGTTATCACTGCCAATAGCCCAGGTCCCGGACCAACAATGGCAACCATGAAACAATTCACATTTGTCGACTGGTAGGATATCAATAAGACAACCCACACCCCCCCCCTTCCTATCCCCCGGTGTAAAAGCTGGGTCACTTTGGCCTTTGGCCTGTAATAACCATAAAGTCAAAAAGCGCATGGGCCTCCCCTCTCTTGATAGAATCCCTGACACCCGCGTTCAGCACCGTGATCTCTTCCTTGCTCCAGCCCAACACGTCCGCAAACAAGGCCGCCGTGAAGGCCTCGACCCCCTCGGTAAAGTTCACCCCCAACAGCGTCCCAATCTCCTTCAACCTCGGATCTTTGGGCCACGCGCCGACCGGCATCTTGAAAACCTCCACTTTGACGTTCACAAACCCGGCATCCCTCACCCACTGCTCCATGCTCGGCGCCGGGTCCATCGTCCTCCCAATCTTCTCGCACGCCTCCATCAACCCATCCATCAGCTTCGACAGCGGATCCTTCCTCGTCAAACTCCCATCCTGGCTGTACAGGGTATTCGCGCTCTCCTGAAACTCCAGCCACCCGCCCGGCTTGAGGTTGTCATACATCTGCTTGATCAACCGCGGCCAGTCCTTGATCGCGCCCGCCATATACCGACAATGAATTAGATCATACGGCAACGGCTCCGCCCAATCCAGCTCCACATCATCCACAATAAACCTTACATTCGGCGGACACCACGACGGCTGAATCGGCGACAGATCATTCCCGACAATCTCGGCCGCCCCGGGATAATCATCCCCCAAATGAATGGCCCACATGCCCGTGCCCGTCCCGACATCCAGCACGCGCAGCCCGGCGTCGGGATCAACGGGGGCCAGGAACAGGCGGTCGTGCAGGGTGCGGAAGTAGACGTGATGGACCATGTCGAGGCGCTCCTGCTCGCGCTCGTCGTTGGGGAAGCTGTACTTGCCCGCCTGGTAGGCGTGGTACCGCCGCCCGTGCTTCCACTCGTAGCGGAGGATGCTGCTGCGGAGCGAGGTGGACGCCGAGGAGCTGCCGTCGTCGCCGTAGGCCGAGTCCGCGTCGTCCAGGGCGCCGCCGCCGGTTTCGGGCGCCGTAGTGTCGTCCACTTCCACGTGGTCGGGCGAGGTCGGCGGGGAGGGGGTTGGCGATGGCATTGTGTCGGGCCGGGTGTTTGTTGTATGGATGTATGTACTGTGTAGGTATGTAATGTAGTGTGTGTGTATGGTGGTGGCCGCTTGTACACACAGTACGGTGCTGGTTGTACTGTGTATGTGACAGTGTGATCCTGCGCTTGTGTTGCTTTTTGTTTCTTTCCTAATTCCTCCTACCGGGTTTGGTGAGAAGTTTATTGCGTGGCACAGTCAGCAGGGAAAATCCGGGGAGAAAATCATGGCACTTTGTCATCCCCGTGTCAGGGGTGTGACGGCGGGGACAAAGCTCGACATGGAAGCCAAATCCGTTTCCGAAGAAGCCCTTGTCCAATCGGCACACGTGGAACATGGGAGTTGTCAGAAGGGTTGCAACGCTACTGCAGCTCGCCAACAACGAGCACCTTCCAACAGGGCATCAGATTGGTGAGCGTCAAGGACAGGGAGGGGCTCAGATCATGTGAAAAGGGAAAGAAAGCCCTCGTTGTTCTTTTCCACTGCCAATCTGAAGAACTTTGCCCATCGCCAACCAACTTGAAATATCCTGTTGGCACCTGCAGGGCCAGCGCCCTGCAGGTTGGCCTGTGCACAAGCCCACTCACAGTTCTTATGTACCTAGTTTCGGCTGCTGCAGCTTTAGCTGCAACAACCTCAATCCTTTTTAGGCACTTCCTCTGCCTCAAGATATCCCCTTCATGACGCCCCCATCCCCCATCCCTTACTTCGTCACCAACGGCGCCGCCACATACAACTGATCAAATCTGCGGTTCAGCAACGACGGCATTTTCGCTATCGAAGACAGCGCCTTGTCCCAGCCAAACGCAGTCGCCCAATCTGTCACGAACATTGTCTGCACACTTACCGGCTCCTCCGCTTCTACCTCCCCCTCTCCCTCCCGAGCTTCCTCGCCAGCGGCTTCGGCAGCAGCAGCAGCCGGGACGCTATCCCAATCCGGCGTCGCCCATGCCTTGTGCACCTCATCCCATTGGGCCGCCCCTTCGAGTGGCGGCGCGCCAACCCATTGGTCGCCGGCGGACACGGGCTGCGGGAATGAGTCGTTGGCGTCAATATCCTTGAGCTCCGCGTCGAGGATCTTGAAGGTCTGCTGCTTGTCCTCCGACATGAACGGCGGCGGCGCGTGGAGCAGGACCCCCATCATCAGCAACACGCTGCCGTCCGTGGTCTCGAGCAGGCTGTCGATGTTGTTGCCGCTCTGCGAGGGGTCGGTCGACGTGTCGTCTGTTCCGCGCATGCATGTTAGCCAGTCCCGTCACTTATTTTGGCCTCCCAGGGGGTACTTACACGGAGCCCACAGCCCTGTCGGAACCGACTTGAGGACGCTCTCCATGCGCCACTTCTTCGGCGGGTCATGGCTGTCCTTTTCCGTGATGCAAATATCGACGCTCGAAGTCAGCGTGTCGGAACCCCCGAGGTGCATCGGCTTGGCGTAGATGGGCTTATCAGTATACTGGAGAGTCTGGATGGCACCGCCGGTCTCGTTGACCTGGTTGGCCGTCCCAATGGCCATCTTGCACCCGAGCACAAAGGCGAACGAGCCGCCCCGGACCGTCCAGTCCTGGTTGTGGGTGCGCTCCGGCGCCTTCACGTCGTTCATCAGACCGGACTGCGCCAGGAACGTGTGCGCCTCGTTCTTCTTCGGCTTGTCGTCCTCGCCATCTTCTGCTGCTGCCATGGCAATGGGCTGGTCGTCGTCGAGCTCGACCACGCGAGGACTGTCGGCCGGGAAGACAGCGGTGGCCAGGGCCGGGGCTGCGGCCGCTTTGGGGGAGGAATCGGTCTTGCTGCTGGCTTGTAGCACCAGGTTGTAGAACTCGACGAGGCTGGCGGGCGGCTTTTCGGTGCTGTGGTTGCCGAAGGGGATACTGAACTTGTGGACCTTGATGTCGATGTAGATGTCCCCGGCGAACGGCGGACCCCACAGCTTGAGATCGGCGCCGACTTCCACCGAGATGTGGATGTGCACGAACAGGACATCCAGGTTGAAGCGCACCCCGACGCTCACCCCAGCCTCGGCCATAAAGTGGAACGGCTTGTAGTTGATCAGGAAGTCAGCAAAGGCGTCGAACCACGCCTCGATCGGGCCCAGGTGGTAGGCCGCGTGCAGCCTCCCGCCGCCCATGCAGGCCTTCGGGGTGATGGCGAAATATGCCTGTCCCGTGATCGACAGCGCGCTGCTCAAGCTCCAGCTGATGCCCAGGCGTGGTGGGGTTGGGGTACCCGGGAGGGATGTCGAAGGCTTGGTGGTATCCTCCGAGAGTAAACACAAAGTCTCCCACCAAAGACTGGTCGGCATGCGGTGCTTCAAACCAGTAGTAGAGGGCAAACCCGCCGGTCAAGTGGCAGTTCGGGTCCAGGATGTACGAGTTGGGTGAGAGCTGGGCCTCGGCCTTGAAGGTGCCGTAGTCGAGATCGACCACCACGGCAATGCCCAGCTCGACGTGCGCGAACTTGACCTTGGACGCCGACGTGGGGATATCGGCCAGGGCGACGGCGAACAGCCCCATCTTGATGGACTGACCGAATTGCACCACGGCCACCGCTTGCAGGGAGATCATCTGGAAGGCGTCGATCTTCATGCCCGCCGCCGCCCAGTACGTATCATCCAGCGGCTTGAACCACCCGTCCGAGTTCGGCGACGTGAGCCGCTCGAGCGTCTCGATAGCGCTTCCCGTAGCACCGGCTAGGCTGGCGGGCTTGATGAAGGGGAACTCGACGATCTGGTCCGCCGTCGGGACCCGCACCTCGCTCTTGTACCCGAACCCGCCCGTGACCCCTGAGATCTCGGCAAACTCCAGGGAGACGAGGGGTCCGTCCAACCGGGCAAACACAAACACCGAGTTGAATGCCTTGCTGAGATCTGTGACGCCTTCGGGCAGCGCCTGCCCGTAGAATCCTGCCGCCTGGAGCTGGTACGGCACCCATCCCACGATGAGCCCGCCTGAGTAGTATGGCAAGCCGTTGCGGTCCTTGCCGTGGCGGACGAGGCCCGCGATGGTGAGCGGCGGCTTCTCGAACGACGCCGCCAGGCCCTCCAGGCTCGGGTCGAGGAGGTGGATGCCCCCGAGGTCCAGTGAGGTGATTTGCACGTTGATGCTGAAGCCGATGAGGGCGAACCCGATCGGGCCCAGCTCGAACGTGGCCGTGAACTGGATGTGCAACGTCTTGTCCGCGTACTTGAGCCCGATGTTGCTAATGGATAGGGGGCCGCTCTTCTTCTTGAAGGGGGCCGAGGCGCTGTTGCCGTCGGAATCTGGTTTGGGCTCCGGATCGTCCTTGGCCTCTTCGCCGGCCTCCGTGATGGCGAGGGTTCCACCTTGTGCTGATGATGGCGCCTTGGGTTGTTTTGGCTTGGCCTTCTTGAAGTCGTAATCCAGAACACAAGTGCGGTTGCCCTGCTGATCCTTGGTGATGATGGCGAAGTGAGACCCCGCCGTGATGAGGACGTCCTTTTGGTTGGTCTTATCCTGGAACTTGTCTTTCGGGACCAGAGGGTGTTGGCCGAGACTCTTGTTGAGGTCCGTAACCTCCTGGCGGGTCAGTCCCGGGTTGGCCTTGTTGAGGTTGGTTCCGTCTTGCACCCACATCAGGTACATCTCATCGAAGGGCTGTGTCACGTCACCGATAAGCGGCAGAGGGACACTCGGCAAAGCCACGAGGCCAAACTTGATAAACCGCTTGGATGGTGCCTTGGGACCCCACGCTGTGAGGTGGATCTGGGCAAAGGTCAAGGCGAGGTCGCCGATTTGGATGGAGGACATAAACTGGAACATGCCATCTGTACCCGGTGATTTCTCCACTTTCAACGAGATCCCACCTGTTTGACCGCTGGCGTTGATCTTGGTATTGGCCAAGAAATCCGGCAGGTCAAGACTGTCGTCACCCAACATGTCGGTCACAATGTCTCCAATAGTAGCCTCCTTGTCCTCCGTCACCAAGTCCGCCTTAAACACCCATCCCTCCTTGTTCTTGAAGTTGAAGTCCAACTGGAGTGACAGGCCTCCGACCAAGATCTTGCCGTCAAATTTGAAGTAGGTCCCGACAGACTTGTCTTTGAGTTCTGAAGATCGGGCCCCCGTGTATTCGTAGTGCAGGCTCACGTGGTCGATCAGCAGAGAATCAATCAACGGCAGCACGTCGTCGGCCGAGCCCTTGTCAAAGAAGCTGATCAGATTCGAGACGTAAAGGCTCTTTAATTCTGTATCAAGAACCCATTTCTTCTCCTTCGAATCGTAATCGATGCTGCCGGTGAGCATGGCGCTCGTAGGATGCTTGGAGTTGATGCTCGGGGTAAGGACAGAAGCAATGCCCAGATGAAACTTGAGCGCGCTCTCACCGCCCGCCCACTGGTACGAAGCCGTGAGGTTGACCTTGCCCAGATCAAGCTGGGGTACGGTAGAGTCCTGGTCGCTCGCGAGGGATTGCTTGGACTGGACGGTGGCCCTGATGGCAAACTGCTTCTGGTCCAGATAGAGATTGGCGAGGGTGATCTGGGTAGGTACCGTGTCGGGCAGGTTATCGACCGTCTGGCCGGGGATCAAGGTTACGAGATCAAGTTGCGTGGCAGGCGACTCCGTGAGAGGCTGTAGGTCCAAGGTAGCCAGGTAGGACGGGTCCAGAACGCGCTTCTCATCCGCATCGAAGACATTCCAGAAGCCGCCGTTGAGGGATCCGGCGCCGCCCATTCCCGCTAGCCAACTGTACGTGATCAAAAAGGCCGCGCGCTGGCTCTTGCTGGACCCTTGGCCGACCTGGTCAGAAGACACTTCGATGTCAAGCCCCACGCTGCTGAGCTTGGGCGATTTACCAGCGGTTGATACGCCGATCTTTAGGCGGCGGAGGAAGATGTGCTTGGTGAACAGGTCGCCGGTCATACCGAATATCTGTTCAATTGCGTCCACGCCGCCGCCGCCAGGTATCAAGCTAGCCAGCCATGCGATTATGCCCTCTAAGCCGTCCTTGGAGTCAATCTTGAATGTCAGCTGATAGCTGAAGCGAGTTAGTTGTAGGCAGAGGAGCATTTTGACCGGCTCCGAGCCGCCATGTTGGACAGAGCATTGCATCTCAAAGTTGACATCCCCCCCTGTGACGGCAGTGGCACCGTTGTTTGTTTCGAGGAATACCAACGTCTTCTTGCAGGCAATGCTAAAACTCTGAAATTCGAGCCCCTTGAGAACTGATGTCAAAGCGTTCTCCAAAGCGTCGGCCGAGTCAAGCTCAAACTGAAGCCTCATGGTTGTCTTGAGGTGCTGCTCCGGACTAAACCACAGCGCGTTCCGCTGCGGCCCGTCCGTATTCGACAGCTTGAGGGTGGTCTTCAGGAGGTCCAGACCTTTAATGGGTAGATTCTTGCCGAGCGCGTCGAGGCCAGCAAATTTAAAGAGTTCCCCAACTGACGATTTGAGATCCCCAGGTGTCTCCTTGGGGTCAAGACCGAAGTAAATAGGTGAGCCCGCATCTGTCATCCCTGGGCTCGGGACGAGCGAATCACCGCCCATAGACGTGGTACCAAAGGAGAACTTGAGGGCGTCGGCGCTGGAACTAAAAGTGACATTCCAGGGGGCCTTGATATGGAATTGAAAATACTGGATGTTGAGATTCGTCGCGTTGTCGTACGTCATGGAGAGTTCGCCGCTGGCATCCCAGTTGGTCATCCATGTTGCCCACTTGTCGCTGGCATCTAAAGTGGCGGTGGTTCCGGTGGGTTTTGCACTGAGGACCAGGGCTTCATCTGGGAGAAGGGACAGAAAGTTGTCGATGTTCTTGGGACTGGGTGACAAGACGTGGACGTTGTCGCCAGGGGACTTTCCGGCCTTGCTCGAGTAGATGGTATACTTTGTCCCCGAGTCCTCTGCCGCCGCAGCCAAGGTCCCCCTCGCGCCCGGGACAGAGGCTACAAGACGTCGTTGATGAGGCGTGATCTCGAGCATGGCAGGTATGGTATGTACGTGCGAGGTTGAACCTCCAGGCCTGGCAGTGACAATTGATTGACAGCAATCAAGGTGTTGTGTTTTGTGATACTCTCTCGAAGGTGCCACGGTCGTATGAACAACGGGCGCTTTTCGAGTTGGCTAGATGGTGGATGGAACTATCCCTCAACACGTGTTTGGGGGGCCGGTGGCTCACGCGAAGGGACGAATGCCTAAGGTAGGGCGGCCTTGAGTTTGAGTTTTCTGTAGGAAATCCCGGCGTATGTTCGTAGATGACACTCGCCTTGAGTAACCGGCATCATTGGGCGGAATTTCCCCCTCAGCTTTCTATTGGTCTAGCATGTAGCTGTGTTGGGAATTCATGACGGTACTTCCGTCACCTTTTCTGGCCAGCACTGACGATCATTGTGCTGCCCTCGTGTATATTCTAATGTCACCTCCAGAGATGGCAGAAAATGCCCCATCAATGTAGGTATTTCCTGTTGTCGGCCTGGGGTGGTACATCCCTTCGTTACATTTTGGGCCCTCATCCTGCACCCCTTGCTTTCACAGTGACGGGCTCATGGCGTGCGGGGTTGCAACTAGGCCCCGTGAGTGACTACCGACCCTCTTCCCAAAGGCTGCAGTGTCGATCCGAACAGGGAGGGCGGTGATGAGGGAGTAGACGTAACGATGGGCGCCAATAGCTTCATTGTTTCGGACGTCTCCTAATGCCCGTTCGACCAACCACAGTCAAGTACAACCCGGAGTTGTGGCCGTGGAATGTGAATGGGGTCATGGTAGGGTCCTTTGCGGTTTTCAACCGATGAGGTGCGTCTTCGGTCACCATGGCCTGCACGAAGGCGAGCTGAGACGCGTGCTCGCTTGACGAATGCAGCCAACCGTTGGGTCCCGTGGGTAAGATAGAAACACGCCCTGCCACCCAACTCGGATATGTGCACAAACGTCAATATTCTTCTAGTGAAGGACAAGAGGCCGAAAGGACGGGCGTGTGTTGAAGAACCACTCATAACGTGGAAGACCGCATTAGCGTTGCGGGGCCCCGTGTCTCAGCTCTGATCTTGCAGCCCTGGATCGGAATTCAGGGGCCTAGACGCCAATTCTGAACGGCTCACTGCAGCAAATGTCTTTTGCCAAATCATACTCGGCCACCTCAACCCGTATGCAACCGCATCACAGCCAAACTCGTCACCTCAGCTCCTTTCAGACCTCCGACCTTCCATACTGAGATGATCTGCGGAATTAAGGGCGGCTGGACAACCATCATGAGTTGAGAAATGAGGGGGTGAGAGGGATGATTGGTGTTGAATCCCGATTGTCCGACATCCATGCGTCTAGGCTCGGGAAAGGATGCGCGAATTGCGGATAAACTTGTTTCGGGCGCGCGGGAAGCGATCTCGGGCTCGTCCATGAGAGGAACAACCCTGAACCGTCCTCCTTGTTGGCCTCGAGGTGTGCCAAAGCGCTTGGGCTCATCGAGACGGTGATCTATCCGCAAACTTAGGAGTGTTGAAGGTTCAAGTTCATGTTGCTTGCCTTGCAAAGCACAATCATTAGTGTATCACCTAATAGCTACCTTGCTCCGTTCGAACTCTGCAGTTAGCTATTCGCCATGGCAGACGACTTGCTGCTCGTGCCCTTGCAACTACAGGCATTTGTGCTCAACCCCAAGGTCTGCAACGAGGATGGCGACGATGGTGCGCGTATCACACCCATCACGCAGCCGAATTACACCTTCCTTCGCCTTGACAAATTCGTCCTCCAAAGCGATGTGCTCAGGCACGCCGATATGCACAATGCGGCCCCATCAACTACGAATTCGAGGATGACGGACCTGGGCGCGAGAGACCCGGATTCCGCTGCCCGTCGAAACCGCCATGGCGTTTACGTGCATTGGATTTTACCCCAGCTCTACCGTACTGGCCTGGCCCTGTCTGATTCAGTGCCAGACTCGCGGCGCAACAATGAGCGACTCCGGCGTGGACTACCCCCAAGAGACAGCAATGACACCGCCAGCAAGCCCAGCAAGTCGGCTGAGTATCCGCAGACGCCAACACGATGGATCATGGTGCGCAAACTGGACCTGGACAGCATCGACCCCCCAACAGCCAAGTCCAGCTTCAAGGAGTACCAAGCCTGGGTCATAGAGAGCGATTACCTCTGGAAGTTGGATTGTATTCCTCCCGAGCACGACTTGGAGGTCGACATGGCTCCTTTTCTCATGGGCGTGGCCGACGGGGCGAAGGCCGACATCGTGCAGCAAGCCGAGGTGTTCATCGGTAGGAAGACGCCGCTGGAGGAGTGGAAACCATCTTCCGATGACCGTTACATCGACAACCTCAGTCTTCTCCGCAGCAACAACCAACTTTTTGCCGACTTCCAAATGCACAACTCCAACGTCTTTAGTACACTTGACAACTTTGCCTACCGTGGGAAAGACGGATCTCGGCAGTACCTCAACAAAGCCAAGGCGAGCTACTACCTCCTCGGATGGCACAAGGATGACGCTACGGACCCTCTTTACGACGCCACCAAGCAGTTTACCCACGCTCAGAAGCTGGATGCGCTGTCCATGACACTCACCCAGAGCGGCATTGACGACGTGACCAAGGCGTGGCTCGAGTCGGACGGCCCGGCGCGCTTGTGTTGCCACGGTGCCATGTACGATGTGAAGTGGGATCATGACTCTAAACCCACCACGGTCCCGGCGGATAAGTATGCGGCACGGATAAAGAACCAAGAGCTGCCAGCACTTGCGGTTGGAACGTCGCCAATAGACGCCCTGATCACCTACATCAAAGCCCGCCAATCTCATGAAACCGACTCGGACGTCATTGCCAAGCTAGAGGAGGACATTCTCGCCATCGATTCTCTGCTTCATGCCCGCGACGACGGCGTCGAAGGCCAACGCGAGGCCAAAGACACCGTGTACAACTGGAACTTTTCCCGTTCCAAGGGGGGCGGTCACTTCTTCCTCGGCGGAGAAGATTCCTCAGGGCGCCCGACGAAGCCCAGCAAGGAGTCTATCCGAGCTCTAAACGAGATCAACCAGCTTCAGGTGCAGCTTGACGGCTATGAACGGCTGCTCCGCCAGCGGAGCTGGGAGATGTTTTCGCTCTGGTGGAAATACGTCACCGATGTGTCTCACATGAACCGACCAACTGAAAACCCAACGTACAAGAAGGATACCGCCGACCTCGCCCAGCGGATTAGCGGCGTCAAGTCCCGCATAGCCGACCTCCAAGCATTGATCAAGAACATGAAAAAAGATGTCAACTTGGGCCAGGTGAAGGAGGGAGCTCAGCCCTTTTTTTATCGTGCCCGCGACCCTACCTTGCTCGTCGGCGGTGTCGAGTCGGGCTGGCCCTCTGACTTCTCTTCCAATGTCTCGGTCCGGATCCCCGTTCAGACCGTGGTATCTGAAAAGGTCCCGGCAGCTGTGAGCGGGCTGGCTGTTGACATACAAAAAGTTTTCCCGGAGACGGCACCCCTGAAACAGGTTGCCAGCTTGCTCGGCGAGTTCTTCACCTTGTCACCAGAACAGAGCCCCCCCAGCGACCCCCCGCAAGGGCACGCATACCCCCAGTTTCATGTTCCGACCAAGTTCGACGCCCCTCGAGATCAATGGGGTGATTGTCAACCATGGTTCCCCCTCTACGTGGAATGGGAGCTTGAGTATACGCACATTCCGTTTGAGTGGTGGGCCCTGGATGAACAACCTACCCGGCTGTCTGACAACAAGTTGACACGATATGGCGTGGAAATCCCGAGCGGAAAGCCCCTATGGGAGGAGATAGGGAAACGGCCGCATAATCCCAACGACAAAGAACCACCCGAGACCCGGATCCTGTCTGGTCGGGTGCTTATCCTTCCTCAACCAAGCTTTTCGCTCGCTGCCAAGGTGAACCAGCTATTCACCGACACGCCAAAGAAGATTCTGAACCAGTATCTTCCCGAGTCTGACCGTCAAGATTTGCTCGATAACATCACCAAATTATCGTACCTGTCGTGCCCGCTCTCTGGGCTGACTGAGGGGTTGGTGACTCTGAATATGGGCACCCATATCAAACCAGAGTACAAGGAGGTGACGGGGGACGGAGAGAAGGTCACAGCCGTCAGAGCGGCCGAGTTCAATGACGCGGGGCTTACCAAAGCCAACATCGAGCTCATCGAGGGTAACTCGGGCTTGACGCCATACGCATCCTCGGTGGGCTTTGAAACGGACAAGTATTGTGCCTTCAAACCTGTCACGCACGGCCAGATAAGGTAAGCTTTCTGAGGATACATGTAGACATCCCATCATCTGCTACAAGTGCTAACAAGATGTTCACAGATTCAGGAAACTCAACATCATTGACAAGTTCGGACAGGCTGTGGTAGCCATCGACCCGCAGCCTCGCAAGGACGGCCACCCTCCTCTGTACCCGAGCATCAGCGACTTTTACGAGCCGCAACCGGTGCTGGTAGACGGACAGAAGGTGGCCAACACAGTTGTGCAGAACAAGGGCGCCACATGTGAGTTCATTCAGCTGCCGCCACAGATCAACCAGAACGCGCGCCTGAATGCCGAATTTGTGACGGCTGCCTCCATCGACTCCCGAAGACCACTACCAGGCACGGAGGTAGCAAAGCCGGCATCGTACTGGCGTCCTACTACGGAATGGGAAAACCCCATCTGGGGTTGGATCGTAGCCAACTATGCCGACTACGGCATCCAGTTGTTCTTGAAAGACGGGACCTTTTACGGGGAGGTGCGCATCGGGGGGCCCAACGGCGCCTTGGATTCACCCAAGTGGTCCCCTTTCGAACCCCCAGCGGCCACCGGGGGCGAGTTTAACCAAGATCTCGCCCGTCTCGACGCCTTGATCCAGCGTCTCCGAGATGCCGACTACCTCAAGGGGTTTTGGTACATGATTACCACGGCACTCGACAACCTACCGCCGGCGCCAAACGCGTACGCCCAGTTCCTCGGAGCGGTCGTCGGAAAGCCTCTCGCACTAGTCAACACAGCGTGGTCGCTCGAGCTCGACTCCCCCCCGCTGACCAACCAATCCACCAAACCCAAGAACTCAACCCCTGAACGGACGCTCATCGGCTCCGACGAAAATTCCACCTACACCTTCCACGTCAAGCTCGGCGACAAAGACCGCGGGTACGACGGCCTAGTCGGCTACTTCACGGGGTTCCCCGAACCCAACGAGAGCACCCACGAAGAGCTAGACTACGACCACATCCAAACCTACTTCTACCCGACCAAACCCGACCCCAACCCCTACACCAACCTCATCCCCATCTCCAAAGCCAACTACCCCGCCCTCCAAGCCTACTACGCGCCCCCCTTCCCCGAAAACGACCCCCCCGACTACAAGCACAACACCTCCCCCTCCACCTACACCTCCACGCACAACCTCGAGCTCGGCAAGCACGTCTTCGGCGCCATCGTGGACCCCTTCACCGCCATCCACGCGTACTCGTCCTTCCTGCCCGCGCGGGAACTCGCCCTGCGCCCCTGGACCTGGCAGGACGCGCTGCAGAACATGATTGCCTTTTTGCACGCGGGGCCGTTCACCCTCATCGACGACGTGGCAGCGTATGATGACGGGCAGCGGCTGACGGCGGACAATGCGAAGCAGCGGCCGAAGCTGAATGTGGGGCTGCCGGCGCTGGTGGGCGGGGAGTGGAATTGGTTGCAGCCGTATGTGGATCCGAGTCCGCCGGTGGATACGGCGGCGGCGGTGGGGGAGGAAACGGCGGTGGTGGGGGGTGGGGGGGAGGTAGTGGGAGGAGAGGGGGCAGGGGAAGGGGGAGGGGAGGAGGAGGATGCGCCGGCGCCGGTGCCGGTGTACAACGCGTATGGGATTGAGCAAAAGGGGAATCTGTTGAGTCCTGGCTTTCAGGCTGCGCCGTACTCTACGGTTGAGGGCTTCTTGATGCTGAGGAGGCCTCTCATGGCCGAGAATCCGAACAACTAACGATAGGGAGATGGGTGGTTTGAAACAAAGGTGTCTGTGTCTAGTCCATTCTATTCTTTCTTTTCGAAGTCTAGTTTTCTCTGAGTTTTGTTGGTAGGAAGAAGGGTCAGTGTTGACTGAACTACCATCATAACCCGTCCATTTGCCAGGTGTTGTGAGTACCATGTAGCTGGTTCACCTAGACACAAAGAATAGCATCTCCGTTTCGTCCACATTAAGAACCCATGACAACAAGAGTTTAAATCCACTCTTTCCCTCTTGAAGCTGGTGGCATTTTACCACCGCGTTGTTACTGTGCGTAAATTGTTAGAAGCACGCCAGTCTTTATCCTTCATCTACTCCCTCTTCTAACATAAGGCTCGCCACGTCCTGGACGGTAAACGCAAACGACAAGACCAACAGCAATCAGTTCCAATATTGCAGGAGTAATACATGTTTATTCCTTCCACATACAAACAGTAAACCACTGGGGCTTATCACAACACCTGGCAAATGGACGGGTTATAAGTTGAAGTTACAATGCCAGTCATTAAGTGTCCAATCTGTTTGCTCCCTGTGATTACGGAATCAAGGAGTCGAGTTGATTGTTGCAAGCAAGTGGCAAAGTATCGATTCGGGACGTAAAGCCTTAACAATTGCAGACTAGCTACCTAACTAAGGAGTGACGACTGACAAGGGACGGCGAGTATCTGTTCCTCCACCAACCAGCGGGAGGTTCCCGGTCCCGTACCACCGATCTCCTGCAACAGGAGTGGAAGCGCCGAGAGCAGCCCCCTAGATCTTGTCGATGGCGTGGTGGAACTTGAACTGCTTGCCCTGGCCGACGCCGACGTAGAAGATGTGGTTGCCCTTGGGCGAGGGCACAACAGTGATCTGGCTGGCGTCGTCGACCTGGCTGGGTGCTTGGACGGCCCTCGACGAACTCCAGGCGGGGGAGGTGACGGTGTCGTCTCTGACGACAACGCGGATGCTCTGGGTGGTATCGACGTAGTAAACGTAGGCCTTGCCGTTGACGTAGGCGGCAGCCAGCGGGGTGTTGGGCCGAGCATCGCCCGAGTTATCGATTTCCTTGTCTGTGCAGGAGGATTAGTCGAGGGTACTTTGTGGAAACGCAACTCCGGGGAGAAAAGAAAAGGAAAAAGAAAAAAGGCTTACCATCAATAGAGCCGGCAATAGGGCAATACGCGTGCAGCCTCTTGGTGCTATAAGCCTGGTAGATGATGTAACGCTTCTCATCTTCCGGGACGTAGAATGCAGCCAGCGAAGACTGGGCCAGAATCTTGACCGTGTCATCGAACTGGCCGGGAGAATCGTCACCAACGGTGAGCTCGTTGATTGTGGTGCTCTTGTAATCGGTGCCCCTATATTGCGGTTTGTTAGTCCGTTATCACAGCCACCCCTTGAGGTGGATAACTCACGTGAGGTAGTAGACATAAGCGGTGGTGTCCGAAGAGACGGCAGCGATGGTCAGGTTGGTGAGGTCAGTCGCGGCCAGGGGCTGATAGACCGGGCTGATGATGGAAACATCGTTCTGGGTCGGGTCATCGCATTTGCAGTCGTTGGCGGCGGCGGCCGGCAGCTTGTTGGTGAAGCCGACGACGAGCTCAACACCCGTCAAGTTGGTGGTTGCAACCTGGGCCGGGTTGATGATGAAACCGGTCTGGCCGTCGGCGCCGGCCGCAAAAGCTTCGGTCTCATCCGTGTGCTTGGTCTCGTCAAAGAACTGGAAGCCAAGGTTCTTCGTGTTGGTGTTATAGAACAGATGAATCTGCTGTCCCTCGGGCCCGTTGGGGTTGATGGCGGCGGCGACTCCACTGGCAGACATGATGGCGGTTGTGGGTTAGAGAGGTGAACTGTGATGGTATCTAGACAAATGTTTGGATGCTTTGCGAAAGAGCTGAAGGCTTGAGGACAAGAAGTGTGTTATAAGCTGGCTGATGCCGCTGGTTTTATATTCCGACCTACGAAGATGAATAGGCTATCTTGGACCACCTCGTCATACCTCGTCAACCCTCTCGGACCTCACGAAATCCCGCGTGGGCCAAAGACCGTCGCCACGCCATGGAGGAGAAGGGATCTCGCGATCTCCGAGCTGAGGACTCCTGAGCCAAGCAGCGGTTGAGGTTGCCAGTCACACCATGGAACCCCATCATCGTATTTTGCATGATGTTCACCACTCGTTTCCTTCGGACATGGTGGGGTTGTTCGTGGACATGGTAACCATAGGTCCGGAGTGTTCGAACATCGGAGCCAGTGAGTGCTTCTAGAAGACAGAGGGCTATGCCGAGGGCTATGCTGGCATCATGAAAATGGGAGAAAATGCGCACTAGTTCCAAGCTGAGCATAGTTCAGCTCTCTTGGCAGCAAATTCGTGTCGCAGGTCTTGCCGGATTCACCAAGATTCAATTTGGACGCATCGCCAGAGGATGCAATGTAACTTCAGTTGCGATGAAGCTGTACTCTGTGATATGTGATTCTTCGGAGGAGCTTGGCTGGTGGACTCTGGTGTGTGGCTGATGTAGGGTAACATCACTGACGTGGAAGCGCGCTTCCCGCGCAACTCAAACTCATTGGTCAGGACCTGTTTCTCCTGGGGGAACCATTCTTCGTACAACGGTGGATCGACGAGGGAACGGCCCGAAGGAGGTGCTTGCATGCATGCATGCAAGTTTCAGCTGCTTGGAAGTTGAGCGGTTCACGCATGTTACCCTATGCATTTATCCGAATACACTGTAGACACCCCCCCTCCACCCCTGAATCCTCCTCTCTCCCTTTTCCCGCTTCCTAGTCTGGTCTTGCCTCTTTCCGCCGGACCAAAGGTACGTATCTTTGGTGCAGGAGGACTGGCATCTGAAGGGATAAGCTGTCCGGGGCGAAGCCCCTCCCTTTGACATGTTCCAGTCGAGATACCTTCATGTTCTGTCTGTCAAGATAGCAAGTCTGAGCTAGAGGCTATTCAGAACTCGGTTGTTTCTTCAAATCAGCACTCCTTACTGGATCCCAAGCTTATCAAGATCACAAGGCTTTTCCAGTGTAGAAATGCTGCTTTGCGTTTTTCCTTGACGTCACGAGTTTCATCCACTACCGCTCTTAGCAAGTAGTCCACAATGGCCATCTTCACGGGAGGAAAAAGCAGGGCAATCAGCTCACCGCGCCATCTGACTCTTCGTCATTCTCGCCGCAAAGCTCTTCACAACAAGATTACGCGCGGTATCCTTCCTCCCGAAGACGATGATCAACCCATCCTGAAGCCTGGAGAAGAGAAACTCAACTCTTTCTGGGCTCCCGGACTCGAGGCCGGCCCTGTGCACACAATCGTTGCCACTCAGACAGTCAAAGCACCAGGAAGCGCCGACGATCTTGTGCTCGTTTCAGAGCAAGACTTCTATGTCGACGCGCCTCAGTTCTCCCTCCCTGAAGGATCCGTGTATTCGTGCTATCCGCCGTCCGGATACCCCGAGGATCACCGCATTCTTCCCCATGTTGTGCTCAGCGATCCTCACCTGCCTTGGGAGAGACGGGGCAGCCCCAAGGATGACGCCTTGGGAGACAAGCGCAACAAGGTGCCATGGCTTGCTCTATTCACCTTTACCCAAGATGAACTCAGGCTGGCCCCCGACGCCTTGGGCGGCTTTCAGTTCAAGCAGACTCCAACTTTGGCCGTCAACATGACTGTGGAACAGCTCTGGGATATCACCACCGCCAACTCGCCCGTTCAAAAAACGCCAGAATGGAACCCAGACGTCATAAAAAGCGCCAAAGGGGACTTCATTTTTATGAAACCAGACCTGTTCAAGAGTCTGTTCTCCACGTTTGGGGACGACAACAAGCGTGAAGTTCCGGCCACACCAGCCACAACCAAGTACAAATACCTTGCCCATGTGCGGAACATCAACACCACAGGAATGGCGGTGGCCGGCGTCGAAGATGTTGGCATTTTCTCCGTTGTGGTGGGAAGCCGCAGCGGACCGTTGGTGAACGAGGCGCCCGTGTCGGTTTCAGTCCATCTCGTCTCCATTGAAGGGGTGGAGGATATGAAGGCTTTTCCGGACAACAAGCCCCTGATGGCCCTGTGCTCATTGCACAGCTGGAACTACACGGTCAACCCGCCTGGGATGTTAAATGTTCATGACGCGTTTGTCCACCTAGGAACGGCGCCGCTCGGTCTGAATCTGCTCCGCGCACCGGATGCCACAATTGAGGCCGTCAGCAAGATGTCCGACAAGGTGTCCCCGAGGCTAGCCGAGCGCCTCAAAGACGGCTATAGCCTGGTCAAATATCGCGTCCAGACCGGGGAGGAAACCGTGGCCCTCTACCGGAGTCCATTCACACCAACGGTCGTCGCGCCCCTCCCTCACCGCAACCGCTGCTCCAACTCGGGTCAAGATCTCCAAATTCTCGACCGCGAAGTGGGCATCATGGACGTTACGTACTCGGTTGCGTGGCAGGTTGGCCGCCTCCTCGCGTTGGGAGACCAAGGCTTCACTGCTGCCCTGGCTCGTTTTCGGACCGCTATTCATACTCTGGCTATGAAGGAGTCCAAGATACATGTGGTCCGCGCCGTGGGTGGAGATTCAAGCCTTCGTCGCCGCGTTGACGTCCTCGAGAATCTCAAGCAGACTGTGAGCCATCTAAGAAACATCCACCTCGGTGAAGAACACGATGGTGACGGCGTCGGTGGCCCAGGCGGGGACAGCGGCTTCGTGCCCGGCCCGCCCAAGCAAAGGTGGCGCCGCAACCGCCTGACCAAGAAGCAATACCCTCAGCTGGGATTCAATGGAATTCAAGTCAAAGACCAATACCTCGAGAAGGCCAAGGAGGCCGCATACAAGCTTTCCATGGGCAAAGACGGCAAGATCTATGACGAGACCAACGACCCGGTATCAACAGATTGGATGCAGCTCTTAGCCTGGGTCATGGACCGCATGTTCCTATCCGGCGTCCCCGCCCACTACCTCATCAGCGACCCCAGCCATCTGCCGCATGAAGGTCTGCGTTTCTTCTACATTGACCCCAACTGGGTGGACGCCATGATCGACGGAGCCTTGAGTCTGGCCAACCACAATGGCGAAGACCGGGACCGCGTGGCTATCAAGCTCGCCATCAACCGGTACATCCATCACATTCCCGAACACCAGACACATCCGCCGCAGATCCCCACCTACGGCTTTTACATGAGATCCGATCTCGTCACCATGTATCCGGATCTGAAAGTGACCACCAATCCGCCACCTCCCGATGGCACGATCCCTGACAAGGCACCGCTGCTGAGACACGAGATCGTGTCGGACGGCGTCATGCTCGGCCTGTTGGACCGGCTCCCTGGAGCTACAGACTTTGACGGTCTGGTCTTCACGCAGCCGCCACACCAGCAGCGCTTTGCCGCCGGGTACAGACTGAGCAAGGAAGATATCGGCATTGAGATTTGGCGGCAATACACGGTCGACATGAAGACCCAGGAATCAGACCCGCTCCTCCACAAACACCTGATTCCGGCATTCCAGATGAAGCAAGAAGATCAGAAGAACTGGTTCACCTGGAACAGTGACCCCTCGGTACCTAACAATAATCTGCGCGTGGTTCGGCTTCCCTTCTACGCCGAGGAGCAGGCCCGCCTTCTCCAAGAGAAAATGGAGAGAAAGTATTTTGACGACGGCGTTCCCAATTCAGCGCTCCTAGCTATGCAGCTTAACGACCCCTTCTATCGACTCATAATCACCGCCAAAGATACCGCTATGAGCTCCATGCTCGAGAAGCTGGTCGACACCAACAACAAGCCACGGGCTCTGCAGCTCATCGAACCCTCTCACATCCGCCGGTTGATCGAGGGCGGAGACAAGGACGATGATCACGAGGGCGAGGTTCCTGAATCAACCTCCGTGGTTATAGAGCCAATTTCAGCAACCTCCCTCTACACGCGCCACGAAAGCTACCAACCCCCGCCGCACGTCTTCAAGGCCAACCTCGCGCCGCACATCAACTCCAACCTCCCCCTCTACGACCCGACTCATTTCGCCCGGCACGCCCTCGTGGGCATCAAACCCCCCGGCGCCCTGGCCAGTACCGACACCCTAATTTACACCCCGCAACCCGAGGACCCAGCCGGCCCACCAATCTACGACTGCGCCGTCTACTCGACCGGCTCCTCCTACGTCAAGACCTGCTCCCCCGCCAACGCCCTCCCTCAGGATCTAGTCTTCTCCATCCAGGTCAGCAACACGCGCACTGACTACCGGCTAACCGAACTCCAAATCATCATCCCGCTGGGCGAGGCCGACGACGCAGACAGCCACACGCTCTTCCCAGCCTACGACGGGCCCGGCCCGCGCATGCTGAGCAACCTGCGGTTCGTGGTGCTGCCGGCGCAGGGGACGTTTGACGGGCAGCGGTGTCTGGTGCTGCGGATCCTGCCGCGCAGCGCCAACGGGTGGACGGCAATCCGGCTGGTGAAGGAGCTTAGCTTCTTGCTGTGTCTGGCTCAGGTGAATAACACGTTCCAGGGGCAGGGCAGGACGTTCGTGACGCTGTATACGGCCGCGTATTACAAGTATGTGTTTGAGACGCAGCCGAGGCAGGGGCAGTTTACGGTGACGTTGCGGAATACGGGGGAGTGAGGAGCTGGGTTTGTGTTGTCTGGAGGTCTCTTGTTGGGGTGGACGAGGTGGGCCGTTGTTGGATGAGTTGGTGGGAGTCGTGGTGGGAATGGAAGGAATGGAGCCCATGACAACATGGGTTGCAGGTGGTCACATTCATTATGCTAGCTCATGATTTGCAATTGATTTTGTATTGGGTGAACTCCATCGCTGGTACCTCGGTGCATGTAATCAATTCTCGCTGTCCGGCTCCCAGTAGCCAGCCACTGGTGTCGGAAAAAGGGGGGTCTTCATCCTGGAGTTCAGGGTGAAGTGCGTCACGTCTGAGATTCCAGCAAAAAGCAACAGCAACTGGCAGTTCAGGCAAGGGGGGATGAGCATGGGGGCGAAACTGTCCTCGTTGTACTCAGCAACCCCCGCAAAGCTTTTACCAAGAGCAAGCCCGCGGGTTTGGGCTCTGACCTTGTCATCTGTGACGTGAGGGCTGCCAAGTATTAGTTAACAGTCAACGCCATGCTCATGACTACGGGTATAAGGGGGGATTATCATACCTAATTATCTCCAAGAAAGGATACGTCTCGCCGCAATTGCCGAACAAGGTTGTCTTCCCTTGGTACGATATGACAGGGCTTTTCTTCTCCTGAAATGGGCCCCAGTCGCCAGGGAATTCGAAGAAGTTGTTGTTCAACAGGTTCCATCTCGCTTCCATCACCTTGTTCTCCCACGCGCCATATGGTTTTGTCGACCCAGTAACGCGAATCCCGGCGAGGCTAGCCCCAAGAAAGAAGTCACCGGTATCGCTATTCCACGTACATTGAAAGCAAGCGGGAGGGTCGCCGGTCCCGGTCCCTTTCTTGCTCTGTTTCTCAGCACCCTTCATGGTAGGTATCTGTTTGCCACCAATCCAGAGGCAGAATTTGGCGTAAACGGCCGTGAGGGGGAGGTAAAAATTGCTCTGATCGGCGACCGAGCCCCCCGGAGCCGGGCCCATCTTGGACAAGAACAGACCCAAAAGGTCGTACTGATTCCAGTACCGGCGTTTATCATCACCGGTGTACACAGCCCAACTGTGCCCCGCGTTTGCCAGCACCTTGAACATGGAATACCCTTTACGTTCCTTGTCCGACGGTTTCCCCTTTGTGGCAGGCCACACTGGGTCTAGCTCGCGGCGGATATGTTGCGGGTCAGGGTCCATGTCTGCGCCCATATACTCAGCCCCACTGGGGAGGCTGGATAAAGTAAGGACAATCCTTAGTTAGCTGCCATTCTCATCGACCGCGGGGATAGTGGTGTTTGGGCAAAAGACTGGAATAACCAAGTACCTGAGAAGCTCAATCTGATCTTTGATAATCTCAAGCTGCTCCTTTGTCGCGTCGCTGATTCGTGGATTGAGCGTGGCATAGTTGTCAATAACAGACTGAAGATAGGCGAATACCTAGGAAGAAGAGAACCGGATGATGGCCCTTGAATTAGCAAACGGTCATGTGAAACGTGTGAGCAGTGGGCGTTAAGTTACGGCGTCTCTACTCCCAGTCGTGTTGTATAACTCGTCCAGGCGTTTTCCGCCAAAGTTCAGAATGTCCGGTGTCCCCATAGCGCCTGTCTGTTTTGTGATTCTTTTTGTGTGTTTCTGGGGCGGCCTTGGGATAAAACAAAGCGCAAAGAAGAAAACAAGAAACCAAAGGTACCTGGTAGGTAAGCTGTGTAGGTCCTCGGACCAGACCTTAATTCGGCGGGATTGGACTCCTGAGCACATTACATCCAAGCACAACCTGCCACTCGAGGGCTTACTTTTATCCCGGGCTCTGAGTCCCCGGCCCAATTCGACCTCGATGTCCAATGCAGCGGTGCTTTTCCCGACCTGCGTATGTAGGGTGTGTACACTGTATGTGCATATCTCTCTATCGGTAACTCTTTTTCCCATGCCTACATCGAATACAGGTCTGTATTGTTGGATATGATAGATAAATACATAATCACACCCCTCGGCCAAAAGCGGGCATTTCTTTCATCCGCCACCCCTAATATTGAGTGGTCGTCACACCAATAAGGAAACCTGAGCATGGGTACCTCTGCAACCGGAAGATCGGGCAAGCCGAAGGCAGACTCAACGTTTGGTGGAAAACCCATATGCCCCCACAACACTGCACGCGGTTAAACGGGCTTGCAATACGATGTACCTGGGTACCTTCCTGAGGCATGAACATACCACCTGCATGTACCCATTTGTACCCTTGACTCAAATGACTCACAGCAGTTCGGGCAAGAATCGTTGACCACAAAGTAAATTATACACATGAGTGGGGAGATACCCGCCGTGACAAGCACATCTCCCCCGAAATACCGAGCGGTGGTGGCAAGAAAGTCCTTGGGGTTTATGTTCGGTTCCGTAAAAGGTTAGGTACCTAGGGTAGGTACTCCCCAGATACGTACCTACCTAGGCTTTGACAACAACCATCTTTGTCGCCGGCGAACCCCTCCGCGCCGACCCCACCTCCAACTTCTGCACTTGCAGTGATAGGAACGAAATCGCCATCTTAATTTCATCTCGGCCGACTACTGTAAGCATTTTTTGTGCGCGTATCAAAAGCGTTACTTTTTGAAATGGCTGCGGAAGCCAAATCCAACGCCTCGGCCGATGTAGGTACAACCCAACCCACCTCCTCATCCCCTTTCGCACGGGTTCATTTGAGATCTCACCTGGGAGGATATCACACAAGGCCACCTCAAAACTGCCCATCGGGTGGAGCGACAAATATGAGGATATGGGCGGAGACTACTCGTGGGACGAAGAATACGGATCAGGGGCTGTTCTCGCCGCCGAACTCGGACTCGGGAAGCCCAAGCCGCTCATGGCAAAACTGAACAACTACGGCGGTGGCCAGGCCGTCTTCGAGCCCGTGGCCAAGCCGGGCGAGCTGTACATGTGGCAGTCCGAAGTCGGCGAAATAGACCGCATCGTCTCCCCCACCACCCTCGCCGAGGTCAAGGATCTCATCGCCACTGGCAAGATCTCCACCATCAAGCTGGAAAAAGTTCCGAGGCCGACGCCAGAATAAATACGAGGCACATATGAGAAGGCACCGAGCTGCCATCTGAACCTATTCGCTTACATTTGCGCCTACCACCCGCGCACAGCGTTAAATTCCATGGTTTTAGCAGTGAGATAGTTGGGAATACAAGCCGAAATCATTTCTGCACATATATCTCTGAGACCAGTGTGAAGCCTGTTGTCTTGGAGAGGGCCGTTTGGAAGCATTTCAATGAAGGGGCTATATTTCCTCCGACATATACATGTAGTTACAACACTAGTCCGAGCATGAACATATCCATTTTCATTCAAATCTAGCACTATAGGCTCTATTATTGAGTTACCTCGACATTAAAAGTAGAGTTAGACTATCTTTTTCCTTTTTCTTTTCCTTTTCTTTCGACAGCCTTCTGTAATTCTTGAGTCGAGGGACCAAGTTCACGGCGACTCATCCATAGTACGAGAAGGGGATCAGGTACCTTACCTGAAAAACGCCCCCTCGACATAGATATCATCAAAGCTCAAATTGTAACAGAACACTGAGAACAGCATTGTGGTGGTCCACTATGTATTACTCGCAACTAACATGAAGCCCCCTAATCCCAACCTTGGAATACACGGCTCCGAACCAAACCAAAAGCATAATACGAACATACACCTGTGACACCAAGCACCGTAGACAGCAGCAGCACCCCTCCGGTAAGTATCCCGGTCTGAAAGAACCCAATGTGCGTAATCCCCTGGCTGGCTCGCTTGACCGTGGGCAGCTTGCTAAGTGCTTTTTGGGCAAACACAGCGAGTTTCTGTGGGGAAGCTTGTTCCAGAAGCTGTGCTAATACGCCTTCCTCCGCAGAGGGTGTGACGAATCGACCCTTGGGTCGGCAGAAGAGAGCTTGGTGGTAAGGGAAATGGGTTTGAGGGTCAACTGAAATATTAGAAGGCGCCACGGGAAGAACTGTAACTTGTTAGAAGGAAGACCCTGGATCGGAAGCTGGCAGCGGCACCTACAAAGAAGAGTAGTAGGCACGTGGTTGACGAATGACGTCGGTGAGTCGAGAAACTGGCATATGTACTTCGCCGCCGACGGTTTGGTAAAGACGTAAGCGGCACCAAGACGGCCATTGCTTTGGAGTCTGTCAGAAGTAATTCTCCGAGTCCGGTGTGGGTGTATGTTGGCATACCTTCTAGAGAAGTCAATGGCATCGTCTATGCTCGTAACCGCGTGAACGAGGAGGCAGCCTTCTTGTACCTTACGGCGCAATAACGGTGATTTCCTGCCACGGTGTCAATACTTGCTAAAGCGAATGACAATCAAGTTTCGCTTCCTTAAAACTCACCTGTCCTCAACCTCCACAACCGCTCCAGCCGAACTCCAGGACAAGACATTCACCCCCTTTTCCGTCCTCACCAACTCGGATAGACTTTGCCCGGGCGCCGTCCGAGGCGGACTCTTCTTACCGCCCTCAGAAACAAACCGCACGGTGTGCCGCACAACAGCCTCGAGAAACTCCTTCTTCACCCACTCATTCACCAGCACCACATCAGGGGCATACGGCGACCTCCCGCGCAGCGCAAACCGCGACCGGACCAACTCCCGCGCCGCAACATCCAAGTTGGCATCACGCTCCACAACTGCCACTACTCGAGCCTTGGACTCCGAAACGAGATGGTGCGAGAGATGGGCGCTCTCACTGCCGTTTTGCAGGACGCGGATGTGAGGGTGGTCCAAGTCGGGTTCGTTGATGGGGTTGGTAGTTGTCTCGAAAATGTCATCGTCGAGGGCTTGTATAATGAGATCTAGCACTAGCGGGGGTGTCCGCAAGAGGGATTGCTCCGCCTGCACGATCACGCAGTTGCCTGCTGCCAGCGCCGGGACCAACGCGGACATGAGGCAGGAAAAGAAGGCATGTTTGGCGGGATGGATGACCACGATTCCAACAGCTTCTTTTGCTTGGGGCATATTCTGGCCTCTTGATACTGCGTATTCCTCGTGGAGGGATTGGTCCGTGTCGATAGCGGTAAAAGCTTGGGTCAGCATGTGCATGGCAAGCCAATACTCGATCTGCACCTCGGCTGGGGTATAGCCTGTGTCGGCCGCAATGGCATCTTGGAGGTCAGATGCCTTCTCCAGAAGCCCATCATGCAGTTGCTTCAGTTGTATCTTCCGAAAGATGGGATTCAGTGCCCGGCCGTCGATGGCGGCTGACCGAATATTGCTGAAGGGTTTCGGCATGGTGCTTAGATGGTGTAATCGAGCCACTTCGCAAACATGACGTTTAGGAGGCTCTGTTACCCACCAAATTAAAGCTTCCCAAAGCTCGTGCTACCTCGGCCGTAAAGCTGTGGCCGCGCTAGGGGTGTGATTCAGGGGGTTTGATGCTTCGGTGGCCAAGCCTCCACATCCCGACGCTCCACCCCCACAATCCGGCCACCCCCAACGACGACTCCCGTCACATTCGGAGATTGTTTTGCCCAGCCGGAGGTCATTGTCACGTCCGCTTGCAAGAAAAGCACACTCAACATCAATACCCCAGCTTTGCTCTCACACCTTGACGCCGTCACGCTTACCACAATGTCGTCGACCACAACCACGCAAACCCAAACCCGCACACGGCAAACGGTGCTGAGGGACTACGAGCTGCATCACTCGGCGAGCTCCCCTCGGACTACCCAAAGCAACCAACCGGCACCAGCAACTGGGGGCCATCTCACGCCGCGGAACCCCCCGGATTGGCCAACAGCACACCGTCGAATTCCTCCGCATAGGCCGATCAACAGGGAGAGAGATCAATCGGAAGTACGAGTGTATACCAGCCCTGCGGAACAGGTCTTTGTTGGGACTATGTTTACGGGTGTTTTAATATATGCTGTGAGTATATGCCACCTGTATTGGCGAGCCGTTAAACCCTGTGTTCCATTCTAACTGCTCTTTGAAGACCGCTGCGAAGGTCTGGAGAGGTACTTTTGGCAGGTTTAATGATGGCGTTTTTAAGTATGCGGTAGGGGGAGAGTTATGAATGTATAATGAAAGATTCCCATGATATGTTCGCCATTGACTCCATGTAAACTTACCTAGGTAGGTACCTATGCATCCATACATTGATGGCTCTAAATCCCACGTGTTCCACCCGTCCATTGCGCAAGCGAACACATGGTACCTGCATATAAATGTGTCGCTTAATCAACAGTAATTAACACTCCATGCTGATCACCACGTAGGGTTCTTTCATAAGGTAATCCAAACTGAAACCGTGTTGGTCTCTATCTTAAAAACATCATCCGCCCCGTCATCTACCTTACTCAGACCTCTTAACGCCCTTCATGCCCCCGTAATCCTCCTTCAACGGCTCCCCCGCAACCTCCAGCGGCTGCACCGGTTGCAAAATATACAACATGCGCACCCACTCCGTTTTGCTGCAGTTCCGCCACGCATGCATCGTCGCCCGCTGCACGGAGACATCGCCGCGCTTCATGACGCGCGTCTCGCCCGAGTCCAGCACCAGCTCGACCTCGCCCTCTAGCACCACGCCGTAGTCCAGGCTGACGGTGCGGTGCATGGGCGACGTGGCGCCGGGCGGCATGTCGACGTACCGTAGCACCGTGCCGTTCTTGACGGTTAGGCCGGGCGGGTCGGCCAGGAAGGCCCGGTAGGCCGTCGTGTCGGTGTCGTTGGCGATGTCGACGGGGAAGGAGGACGTCACGTAGCATTGGGCAAAGGAGGCGTCGCCTTCGCCGAGCGAGTAGAATGGGGCTGGGGCGGGGATGGACTCGTCGATGACCGCTTTGCCTTCCGCGTTGTGCGTGGTGATGAAGCGGTTTGGGTGGGAGAGCTTTCCTTGGAGGGCCATCTTGAGCTAAGGTTGGGAGGTTGCTTCAAAAAGGAGAAGATGGGATGTTAAGGTGGTTTAAGTTTTCTCTCAAAAAGAACGATAACTGAGCAGTAGTATGTTTGAACCTCTTACTTCATTCAATATGCAGAACCTCGATTAAGTACCTAGGTAGGTAGGTAGATAGGCAACTGAATGTTGACTTCGGCAACCGTTTGCCGCGCCGGGAAGTGGACTCATGTGGACCGGTCATGTCCCGATGGCCGGCAACTCGCCAGTCATAAGATCCCTGGGACTAACAGCAACCTGGAATTACATTCATTACACAGGGGCCGTAAACGTCATTAGGACATTGGAATTACCTACAGTTTGACAAAGGACACATGTGCTACTAACCTACGACTCACACCCAACCATGACCTCCCCTAATTACGCCCACCACTTTTCAGCCCGCAATATCCCCTTTGGGATTGCATCATCGACAAAGCATCCCCAACCTCAAGCGGTGACCCGGGTGGGAAATTCTGTTATCTTTCTTCATGAATGCCATACTAGTAGTGAACTGTTCGAGGGCATCGATGGACTTCCCAGAAGGATCTTTGCCGATGAGACCCTCAACCACTTTGCGGCTCTCCCAAAGGCTACCCACAGAAATGTTCGTGGGGCCATTCAATCCGTCTGCCAGAATGGCAACCTCGACATCTCCAAGCTGCTGCCAGGGTGTGTTGAAGACATCACGGAAGTGGAGATGCACATGCCTATCACAGTTGGCGACTTTGCCGGTACAATCCCTCTGCGTCCTCCGCCCATAATACAAGCTCGTCTTCTAACAACACCAGACTTTTCCTGCTCTCTGATTCATGGCAAAAACGCGGGCCGCATTGTTGTCAACGATCCTCGCCCACCCCCGGCCTTCTTCCACTTCCCCATCGCTTATCAAGGGCGGGCTAGCTCCGTTGTGGTGTCCGGAACCGACATTGAGCGCCCCCAGGGCCAGTACCGCGACAAGTCTGTTCCAACGACAGCGGATGAACCCAAGCCGGTGGTGTATGGCCCCTCGAATGCAGTCGACTATGAGCTTGAGTTTGCCGCTATTATCGGAAAACCGCTGCGTATGGGGCGGAGGCTGAATGCGGTCGATGCGGACGACCATATCTTTGGGTTTGTCATTTTGAATGATTGGAGTGGTAAGTGTTTCTTTAGACATAGTCTCCTGAGTCGAAGCTCATCGTACTGGAACGCAGCCCGAGATATCCAAGCATTCGAGATGACCCCGCTGGGCCCCTTCAACGGCAAGAATTTTGGCACATCCATCTCACCGTGGATCGTGACTCTTGACGCCCTTGAGGCATTCAAGACTGAAGGCCAAAAGCCCATGGTTGATATCCCGAAGTACCTACAGGATCCAGAGCTGCGGACGTACGCAATACAAATGCAGGTTGAGCTCCTGTCGGGCTCGACACCAACGCTGGCAGGCACGTCTTGGGTACAGAGTTTGTACTGGTCGCCGCGGCAAATGGTTGCGCATGCGGTCAGTGCTGGCGCGGCCCTGAGGCCGGGAGACATCATGGCGACCGGCACGGTGAGTGGGGATGGGGAGGATGCGAGTGGGTGCATGCTGGAGCTTACGGAAGGAGGTGCCAAGCCATTCAAGTTGAAGGATGGGACTGAAAGGGGATACTTAAACAATGGGGATGTGGTGAGAATGACGGCTGTGGCCGGCAGCGAGGAGTCAGGGGTTGGGTTTGGAGAATGCATTGGCAGACTCGTTGAGAGCCGACCCATGGAGGAATGATGTCGATTCAAGAAGACAAAATGCTTCAATCCGCTCAGAGACAGACCTAGCTACCTACTAAGCCATGCCGATTACATGTACCCAAATTCTCATATCAATACCAATGCTAAATGGACTGTCCTGCTGTTGCTATCATCTATGTATGTACATACCTACCTACCTGAACTACCTACACACGCTGATTTCAGGGCTGTTACAAGCTACGAATTAAAGACGGTGCTTTACCAACACATCTCCGGAAAATAACATTACCTACCTTCTTGCTGGCATTCGTGAGACAAGTCATCCCGGTACTACCTAGGTAGTTGCGTAACCGGCTCGTTCCGAGCTAAGGCCGGCGTTTCGGACCTCCGATGGGTCCGTTCGGGATGTGGCCCTCCCGCTTTCCTCCGACCTCATGCTCCGACACACTCACCCCGCTCCCTAGCTCACTGAGTGCTGGAAGACACCCAACAATGCATATTTGATCCAATTGGTATTAACAACACAATCCAGTTCACTTACACTGTCTGAGTCCATTCAACTGCCACATCTAGCGTGAGGTCTTGAAACCGATCACAATGCCGAACAAACTACAGGACCTCCATACTGTTGACAGTACCAACTTCCCCTATGTTTTTGAGCAGAATGTTACGGTCCGCTTGAAATTTGGGGGCGTGGTCCGCTGCAACGTCTACCGGCCCAAGCCGGATACTCCCGTCCCGGTCTTGGTCACATACGGGCCGTACGGGAAGGATATTCATTACAAGGAGTAAGCCAAGACTTCGGAGCATAACGAGGCGACCATTGACCCGGATTCTAGTTTCATTCCGAAGTACTCAGAGGTCAATCCTCGCCATAAGTCTGATCACTCGGCGTGGGAGACACCTGACCCCGGGTTTTGGACCGAGCATGGCTACGCTGTCGTCCGTGCAGACGAGCTGGGCCTTGGGCAGTCCCCAGGCAAACTGGATACAATGTCTCGAGGGACCACAGATGCATTTGTTGACGTCGTCGAGTGGGCTGCCGAGCAGCCGTGGTCCTCGGGCAAGGTTGGCCTGTTAGGTATCAGCTATTATGCCGGGAGCCGTACGTACCACTTTACAAGCCCTAAATTAGATCTATCGACTGATATAAACTAGAATGGAGAGTGGCTGCCCGCAAACCCAAGGGCCTTGCGGCCATTGTTCCATGGGAAGGCATGTCGGACTACTACCGGGATCGATGCCGCCATGGTGGAATCTTGTCCAACGCTTTCATCAAGTTCTGGTGGAACAGGCAGGTCATCACCAACCAATATGGACGGCCCGGCCGTGCTGCGTCTAACTGGGGCCCGGGTATGTTCCATCACCGCCAATGCTGAAAATGTGGAGCGTCATTAACACATGCCCAGACACCATCGAGGGTGATCTCTCGGAAGAGGAGCTGGCCGCCAACCGCCAGGACCAAACCATCGACAACCAGAAACACCTGTACCGCGACGAGGCGTACTACGCATCCAAAGAATACGACATGGGCGACATCGAAGTCCCGCTCCTCTCCGTCGGCAACTGGGGTGGCATCCTGCTTCACCTCAGGGGCAACATCGAGGGCTTTACCCACGCCGGCTCCGAGTTCAAGTACCTGCGCATGATCACGGGCCGCCACGATCTGCCCTTCTACTACGACGACGAAGTCGAAGTCCAGCGCAGCTTCCTCGACGCCTTCCTCAAAGGCGACGATCGCGTAGGCTGGTCACAACCCGGCAAGGTCCCCCCCCGTCAGCCTAGTCCTCCGCAAAGGCAACGTCGGGTTCAACAACGCCGAGAAAGAAAAAGTCTACGAACGCCGCGAAGAAAACGAATGGCCCATCGCCCGCACGCAATACACACGCTACCACCTCACCCCCGACCTCACCCTCACCTCCCACCCCGCCACCCCCATCCCCAAGCATAAACTCACCTACCGCGCCCTCGGCACCATGCAGAACCCCCACCTCCTCCAATTCACCACGCCCCCCTTCCCCTCCGAAACCGAAATCACCGGCCACATCGTGGCCCACCTCTGCATCTCCGCCTCCCCGGACCCCGCCAGCCCCACCATCCCCTCCGACATCGACCTGTTCCTCACCCTCCGCTACCTCGGCCCGGACGGCGCCGAGGTCTTCTACACGGGCACGGCCGGCGACCCGGTGCCGCTGACCAAGGGGTGGCTGCGCGCGTCGCTGCGCAAGGTCAACGCCGAGCATCCCAAGCATAGGGCCTGGTTGCCGCAGAGAGATTATACGAGCCGGGATGTGCTGAGTGTGATTCCGGGGGAGGTGTATGCGGTGGATGTGGAGGTGTGGCCGACGAATGTGGTGGTGGAGCAAGGGGGACGGGTGGTGTTGGAGGTGAGCTCGGGGGATACGCAGGGGAGTGGGATTTTCTTGCATGATGACCTGGTGGATCGGTGAGTAAGCGCCTTTGCTGTTGTTTTTTTTGTTTCGCTATGTTTCTTTGGATGAGGGGAAGGGAGGAGTCGGAAGGGACGGGATGCTAACGTGGTGTAGATCGGTCGAGAAGTTCCAGGGATTCAACCACGTCCATTTCGGGCCGCGGTTTGAGAACTATGTCACCCTACCGATCATTCCAAACAGAAAGGAGTAGTCGATGTCTATGCTGGAAGACAACCAGTGGTTTGGTTTCTGACTCAGAATCCGCCCAGGATGAGTTCATCGCCCTACGGTTAGGCCACCCCTCAGTGGTGAACTTCGGTCAAGGTTCCGGCCCCGGAGGGGGTGAGATAGGGTGAAGTGAGGAAGCAAGGTACATGTACCTCCATGAGGCGCACAGTTAATGGGTAAAAAAGTAGAATTGAGCATTGCATATTCGGAAAGAAAGTTCGGCAAGCAGTCGGGTTAGGGTAGCAAGAACAGAAATATCCCCACGATTTGGTCATCAATCAACCTGTTAAACCCCATGATCCATACAATTCAACACAAGGTCGTCACATCATAAAACAATATTACCATAGAGAGCCCGCACATTCACTAATTTATCAAGACGGCTTAAGCTGGTAGCGAGTGTTCGTTGGTCTGTCTCGGCACCCACTCGGGATCGAAGATCTGGGCAGTGAACCAATACCCATCCTCATAATCGTGGGTCAGGCTGACAGCGTGCAGCCCGGTAGCTATGTCACCTTAGCAATTGAACTGACAGGCTCCTACACTGATGAGATTCGGTAACTACTCGCCTTTCCGTCGGACCAGACCTCGGTATTCTTTTAAGAAGCCGATCTGTTCGTCATCAAGCTCCGCCATCCTCTTGATCTCGGCCGAGTCCCAGTTGGAGTCTGGGGAGAACGGCCGCTGGCCCTTGCAGCAATAGTGGAAGTGTGCAAGGATCGTCTTTGCGCTGGAGTGGATGGCCCGGATGATGTGCATGTCTACAAATCGCACCTATTTCTCGTTTAGCACCAGTGGTCATTGTACGGTGCTAGGATATGCTTACCGGGAATCCACGCCGCCTTGCAAAACCCCTGTGGAATCGGCATTGCAGTTCGTAGTTGTGGAGCAGGATGAACACACTCAGGAAAATCACAAACCAGTTGCTTGTCTTGTTGGCCAGAATAATGTCCTGGAGTTGCTTCAAGATGGTAAGGCGCAGTGGTTGCAGGATTCGCTCCGTGAAGATGGCGGCCATCTGGTAGTTGATGAAAGGCGGTACTTGGACGATGGGATCTCTCTCGTAACGGTGGGAGAGGCCCTCGGCGCCGAGAGTGTCCCCTCCAGTGCACCGCCAGCGGCCCTCGAGGAATCGGCATGTCACCCAAAGACGTATCACGTTGGATAGAAGTTTGTTCTGAGATGTCAGAATCACAACAACGAATCATAGGGAAAGAGGGGCGACCTACCGGATTGGGGAACGTCGAGAGTCTCATCGCCCAGCTGAAAACACTCCACACGAGATGATCACTGTCATCTAAAATGGTACACAAGTATGGCTCAATGCACCGGTCAATGTAAAAGTTCACGACACTCGTTGCCTCGTCCGGATCGGAAATTGCCCACGGGATGCCGTACATCTTGTTGCCCCTCGCGTCGTCGGACTGGAGCTCTTCGGCGGTGGGAATGAATTCCCGTACTCTCAGCCTGAGGGTGACGTTGCTGTCCTGCGCGAATTCCAGGATCTTTGGCTCATTTTGCGTCCACTGCCGTTTAATATGAAAATCGCCGTAGGTTTCGCCAACCATGAGATGTACCCGAAAGAATTCAAATTGTTGGAAGCTGGTCCGGTATAGGTTACTCTCCGTGATCCTGTATCTGAGGCATGGAAGCCAAGTCAATTTGGGGGGCGTCCTTATGCAGGCGAGGCACGGCCCACTAAGGTCATTTGGGTTGGGAGAGCACTATGGAATTCATGTTAAGATCGGAATTTCAGATGGGCCCGGTTCGTTATCGCTTACCCTTTTCCGGCGGGCCCAGCATCTGACACACGAGTTCAGGGTTCGCGTCAAGCTTGTCTCGGCTCTGAGCGCCGGCGTCTTGAAGGGGGTTCGCTTAACAACAGGCTTGCGAACTTCGACTCGAGCTCGTGGGGAAGGCTTGGGGGCAATCTTGGATAGTCGTGGCCTTGGAGAAAGGGTGCCTTGAGTCCCTTGGCTCTCCGACATGGCGCGTAGAGTGCATGTTGTAGCACTCGAACTGCCGTCACTGACTCGAGTCCCCTGCCCGTTTGACATGGCGCGCAAGGTGCATGTTGTGGAACTCGAACTGTCGTCTTCTCTAGACGCATTGGCCGGACTCCCTTGTTTGTCCGACATAGCGTGCAGGGTGCATGTCGTAGAACTTGAACCATCCTCACCAAAGTCATTGGCTAGACTGTTGCCGGAGGTTAATATGCACTCAGTGAATAATATCAGTAAAGTGGCCTACTGGACGGTGGCAGGAAATAGAGACCCGCCAGGGAAGCCAAAGACTGGATCATCCAAAAGCAGGCCAGAGCCATCTTGCTCAATGACGGCATCCAACGATGAGATTTCGGTTCCCCCCAGAGTCTGTATAAGAATCCCACCGTCGAAGCGCGGAGGCGCCTCTGAGACAGGAGTCGAGGCCATTCTGGCACGCGGAACTAGCAGAGAACCACAGGAGAACTATACAAGAGATGAGAAGGCAGTAAGTATAAACAAGTCTGATGAGGTTGTAAATAGATGTTGGAATGAAACTGGGCATGGGCGCAAGGCTGCCGAGATGAGGGGCACTGACAGTTCACGTATCACAATATCACGTGCGTTGCTCAGGACTGACTTGCATAGGAATCATCGAGTCATGGAGCCATAGAACCAGAGCTATATGCACGACTGGTGCCCGTCATCCCTACCAAGCTGGGAAGGGCTGAGCCCGATGTTGGTTGCGGCGAAACTCGATTAACTCTAAACCCCAGTCTCTGACTAATATGGGCCCTGGATGAAGCCACCCAACTCCTGCCGAGAGCTGCCAACACCTCCGCGTTACCCTTCCACAATGAACAAATCGTGCTTCCTGTGCAATCTCTGGCAAATCTCGACGAAGTCTGGCTCATTCTCCGGCGTCACCACGCCGTGCCTGATTAGATAGGATAACCATACCATGGCCCTGTTCGCTACGAACTCGCCCTCCATCAACGCGGCCTTGACATCGTCCAGGGTCATGAGGGTAAACTTCTCGACCTCGTCACTCCCTGGCTGCGGAATCACATCCTTATCAAACTCCATCTCGTAGAGGTACGAGATGATATGCTGGCAACCAGGTTTGCCCGTGCTGGTGATGGACATCTGATACGAGACGGTGCCGCACGCGACGATGTTTGCCGTCGTGTATTCCTTGGGAATGGATGCCTCGACGGCGATCTTGCGCGCCATGCAGTCGACAGGCCGCTCTCCCGACCGGATGACCCCTGCAACGGTACTGTCGAGCTTGTTTGGCACCGTGGGCTTCGTTGCCGACCGCTTCGGAACCCAGTATTTGGTTTCGTCCTTATCATTCACAAAGCCAATCAAGTGGGCGCTGTAGCTGACAACGCCGAAGGGATCGAGGCCACTGCGGTCGGTGTCAAGCACGTGTTCGCCGTCCGACACGACTCGCAAAGCCTCATTGTAGAACTTTCGCGGGCTTGTTGGAGCGCCTTCCTTTACGGCTTGCATCAACAAGTCGCGCATGACCTGCGTCCGCTCCTGGAAAGACCTGGCTTGCACCATGGTCAACAGCCGCCGCTCACTGTTGACTTGCCAGTTTGGCGACAGGTTGAGCCCTTGAAGGATGGATCTGTGCATGTAGCCGAAAGGCTTGGGGTAGCCCTCAATCATGAAGTAGTAGTAATCCTGCATCCACGTCTTATATGCGGCTGGATTGCGCTGGTAGTATGGCCATCTGCATGCAGTTAGCTTATTACCTAGTGTGTGTATCTAGTACCTAGTGTGTGGGTCATCAATGTCACCGAGCGATCATCGCCTACAGCACTTGGAACATTGAAGTTGGAATCGACTGGAGACTCACGTGTCGACTAGCTTCACGAGCGCTAGGCCGCTAAAGGGATTCGACGACATCACTGAGTAACGTCTCATTCCACAGCACGAGTTGGGTCGCGAATACGAATTATTTGAGCGGAAAAACTGAAGAGCTGACCAGATGTTGTTTTGGTCATCAGACGCGGGTTACACAGTAAGAAAAGTAACCGTTCCCCGCTTTCCCCGCAACAATCGTGCTCGTAAGGCCTCGCAACTTGAAGGGTCGGGCATTCATTGGATGGTAGGTACGACAGCTCCGGTTGGCTGAAATTCGGAAACCCCTCGTCAGCAGTTTTCCCGACCTGTCAACGGGAGAAAAAAAAAAAAAAAAAAAAAAAAAACAGAAGACACATGCAAGTGGCCTGAGATTCACGATGCCGTAAAGAATTACAAGACCCGTATTCCACCTGGCCGTGCCGATTTGACTTGCCGGGGTTCATTACCAGGTACCTAGAGCGACAAGGACCCTCGTTGGAACACTGCCCGCCTCTATTTTAAGCCCTTCTTCCGGATAATGTAAGAAAAAGGAGTCAGCCAGCTCGAGGTGCGGCCTGTTTCTCCGTTGTAAAAGCAAGTGGTTGCCGAGGGCTTGGCCTGGAGAGAGGTCGTTGTCGCAGCCCGATGTTGACTCTGAATCTTCTTCAGCTGGACCACCGGTCCACCGCCGGCGATAACTACATCGGCCATCCATCTTGCGCAGATTACCTACCTAGCTTTCTCTAAATCACCCTCCTACCCTCAGTCGTTACGTCTCGGCTGTGGGTCGTTTGCTGCGTCAGAACGCGGGCTCCGGTCTCTTCGTCAAGAAAGAGCAAGAGAGCATCAGCCTTCCATCGTCAACAAGGTGGTCGGGCAGGGCTTCCCCGATCTGGTATCGCGCCGGAAAATCGGGCGGGATCTCTCGGGAACGAGGTTCACATCATGCCTGTACATCCCCGTTAGCATGCCTTTTTGTTTTTGTGACGGGGGGCGCACAGCGCGGTCGTGGATGGGGAGTGTAAACGGCCCCGGAGCCGGCCCGGACCCTGTTGCGGGCGCCGGCATTCCGGCCCCACCTTTCCAGACCGCCGGGCTCCGCCCGGGCTTAACCCACGCAGTGGCATCGCTTCCTGTTTGTTTAGTTTCCCACAAAACACACCGTTTTCCCAGTCGGAACGTTATTGTCCTCCTGTGTGTTTACAGACCCCGGTGACTCTGACCGTTCGCTCGGCCTGACCCTTCGCATGCCCGGCAAATGGCCTTGGGCGTAGGGCTCAGGCCGTCGGGCAGTGCATGCCTCTCCAGTCAATAACGACAGAGGACTTCGTTGGATGCTAAATCGCGAGACTCGCCATTTCCAATGCCACGCTGCCTATCTAGGTACCTACCTGTGAGGGTGATTGTGTGACAGTGTGACTCTGCCAGAATCCATGAGGACCTGAGTTCATTTCGCGGCTGCACAACACTTGTCGTGCCCGACCATGCAGCAGAGCCAGGAATTTCACATGCCAGTACCCGGTAATCAGAATGAAGCCATTGCCCACTAACACGCCGTGCCGTGTCGTGATGTGATTGAGCGCTTCAGCCCGCCCTGTTGAATGACGAGGTTGCATCGATATCCGCATGTGGCAGCACAGCAATTGACTGAAAAAGGTATAGTCTCCTCACCGATGCATGGAGAGCAGGAGGTCATTGGTCATCGCCGGTTTGGGTTTAGCTTGTTCACCGCTCGTCGGGTCGCCGAGTACGATTGGGTGATCGGGAGCCTGGCCCCCCAACTTCCCAACCGGGCTTTCCCGGCAGTGAGGGTCAGATCTGCACTTCCCTGGGAGACCGCCCGTTAGTTCTTAACCCACGGGCTCAGGCCACACCTTGAATTCGTTATTTCGCGTGCCACAGCTTGGTCATTGATGCAGGACTTTTACTGACCGACGCTCGATGTTGATGTTCACTGGTTGCCCTGATCTAGGCTGAGCCCGCTGGGGTGCATGATCACCATAGACATCATGTTACATGCAGAGAACGTACCCCCATGGGCCAGTGCTGTACAAGTGGTCAAGGCTTAAGCACACCCTCTTTTCAATGTCCTCCCCAGCTCTAACTTCTAGAGATTCTGTGCGCTGGTGACACGTTCCTTCCTCTTGAGTCTTGCTTACTCCTGGGGCGGACCAACAGCAAGAACTGCAGTTTATTTCGAGAATGCTCGTTTTATAAATAGCCAGTCCTTCCATCACAAACCAGAGACCGCTCTGCCTGCTCTCTCATTTCTCAACGCCAATTCCAGATCATTATCTTCCCGGTGCGCATCCCAGAAAGTACATGTACCCACACCCACACACCACTCCTTCCAAGTTCCACAGCGCCGGCAAAAGGGAGCAACTGAAAAGACTGCACACATCAACGAGACAATGAAGTCGTTATCCAACCATGGACAACCGTCATCCGGTGCTTCAAGGTTCGCCGCCCCATCTCCCAATTTCCTTTCACACTGTCCGCGCGGTTGGTTCTCGCCATGTTTCCATTCCAAACGTGGTTAATGGGGATGACGAGATTCCCCCGATTCCGCGCGAAACAACCTGACGACGACGAGACCGCTGACCGTTGGCCGTGACCCCGTACAGCACAGTCGGCCCTATTTCCGGCCCGGCTTTGAGCCATGCCAGCATATTTAACGCCTCGACGAGTGGCTCAAACAATCCAACCACGTCAAGCCAAACGGACGAACAACCCTACCAGCTGCTTGCCTATTTGGCCCAGCCGGCGGATGAAGAAGGCTCCGTGTACGGGCGTCTCGGCGGTTGTATCGCCGTGGTGCACACAAACTACGCGGGTCTGGAGTTGGAACACCAGCGACGTTGAATCCCGTTTGGGTGGCAAGGTAAAGTTGGTTCCGGGATGCTGCATGGCATGAGGCCGCAGCTGCAACACGCCGGGACTCGTGGTGTTACCCGGTGGCTACCTAGGTGATTGGTTAAAATTCAGGAGTTGAATTTTAACCAATCACCTCACCACCGGGTAACTCCTGAATTTTAACCAATCACCTAACCACCGGGTAATGAAGCAGAAGGTCTCACCCCACTCCGCACCGCTGGCAAGAATAAACTTACTAGATTGGGAAGGTGGGGTAATTATGCACAAGAGTGATGCACAAGGGTGACGGCAGGTTTATGGGAACTGCTTCACGGATTAGTTACGGGCTGGCCATGATTGGGATGTTAGATCTTCGCGGGCTCACAAGGCGTTCTGGAAGGATCATATTGATAGAGAATTCAGATGACGGTTTACTCTATCAGCCTGAAGACCTATCTAGTAGGCATTAGCGTGCGTGCTAAGTTGAAATGATAGCGTTGTCCGAACGATAGCGTTGCCCGAACGGAATTATAATTTGGAATTGGCAGCGGGACCGCATGCACCTTGGCCTTTTTCTTTTCTTTTCTATCTTTTTTGTTCTTAGATGAGGCGCCGCCGGGGCGGGGAGGCGGGGAGGAGGAGAAGAGAGACGTCGCGAACTTCAATGCGTTCCACTGCATGCTCTTCCTTGGCACAGAAGACGGTACTTGGCAGGATGCAAGCAATGAGCTTCAACAATTTTCGCACCACATGTCGTCGTCACGCTGCGATTCCATGGGAAGCCAGCCAAACAGCAGGGAAAATGATTTGAGGCGCAGTTTTCCTTAGTTAAGGTAGCTGAGTCTCAGTTCACCTTCCTCCTGCACACGAACCAGAAAAAAGCACACTTCCCCTTGTTGTTTTCGCCGTTCTTAACCTTAGCTCCACGCCAGTCAAGGCACACCAACAAAGTCCCGCATACCGGCATAAGTAGCGAGCAGCATCGCCGCCATGGCCATAAGTATCGGACGGGCACCTCTGGTTATCCCGGCTCATGCACTACATGTACCTAAACGTTGCACTGATTGGCAGTTGGCACCAGATACCACACCCATGGCTCTGGATCCAGGCGCTCGATGCTGATGGACCATTTCATTCGATGGCGGATACACACGCCCCTGCCGCATCACGTTGGAGTTGCATTAGTTACATGTATGATGTACCTAGCCACGGCAGGCCGTGCAACCACGACATGACCCGACAGACCAGTGGAACCTGAACTCACCTAAGGTACCTTACAGGTTGCTGTCTCCCCAAAACGGCAGATTGTTTTAAGCAATGATTTGCGATGCACAGATACCACGGACCGTCTTTTGGTTTCTTACCAAAGACTCCATCGCACCCCCAGTCGATTGAGGAGAAAGACTCTGGTGTGCCCAACTGCTTCACGAACACTCATACGATACCCCCAACTAATGGAACTCCCGAGTTCGAGGTCCATGTCTGTTGAGGGCAAACCATGTTCCGCATTGCAAATACCATTTTATTCTTGAAATTACGACGCCGCCGTCAACATGGAGCCCTTGGGCCACCTTCCCCAGACAAATTGACTGTTACACATATTCGTCAACTCCCACGTCTCGGCTGCCAACTCCCCCTGCACCCCCTCGTCCTCCTCATCCCCCGCCGCGCCAGCCACAAACATCGCCGCCATAAAATGGTCATCCGTCGCGTGCGCGTCCCGATACAGCGGGTGCTTCATCAGCCGGGTCATAGCCCGCCGCAAGCTAGGGCCGCTATTATTCCCGGATGACATCCTCGACCGCCTGGCGGAACTCGAGCGCCCACGACTCGGGCGGGCGCTCCTGGGCGAAGTTGTCCGAGAAGCGCAGCATCGGCATCCAGTGGTTGCGGTAGAGGTTGTGCACGGCGCCGCCGGACCCGATGATCAGGTAGTTCTCCTTGCGCAGCGGACGCAGCGCTGCCCCCAGCTTCATGTGGAAGTGCGGGTCGTAGCGCTCGTTGGCCGAAATCAGCGTGGTGGGCGGGCAGCCCGCCGGGAACATGCGGATGAGGATGAGGTACGTGTCGTGGATCCAGTCGAAGGTGGCGTCGCCCGAGGCCGCGAACCCGGCTTTCTTGAGGAGCGAAACGCAGCGCTCGGCTGTGGGCAGGTCTGGGTTGAGCTTGTAGTCGACGTACTTGCTGGGGTGTACGTAGGCTACGGGAGACTTGCTGGGGTTGGGATTTGTGGCGACGTGAACTTCATCACCAGGGGCGTCCCAGTGTGCTCCCTAAAGGCGGGTGAGTTGAGGTAGAACCGGAAGACTGAAAGGACATACCATCATGATGACGCCCTTGATGTTGTTGGCGAGAGCTTCATCGCCAGCCTTCTTCCAATAGGTGGCGGACTCGGACTCCTCGCCAAGCATCATGGTCGAGCCATGGGAGAAGAAGTAGACAGGGGTGAGCGGTGCTGTTGAAGTTTTAGTCTAAATCTTCAAACGTCTTGAAGCGACCGTTACTAAACTGACCCATAGTGCAATTGACGTTCTGAAAAATACTATGTTGAAAAGTAATTATGTCAAGCCTTGCCGAGGGCGGTGCTGAATGCACCCCGTGGTAATGTGCGATGACCCCTGAATTGAGTGGATGGATCAGCAACAGCGAACCAGCACTAGCTCTCTGATTTCCACAGTTCAATTCATCAGCGCCAACCTAGAAAACAGTATTACTCTATCCCTGATTGCCGCGTCCGAGTACAATTGCTGCTTTGCCTTATCTGATCGTTTGGGAGATGGCCCAGGTAACGCCACCCCCTACCCCTGGCCGATCGTTATCGATTCGGGACATGTGGGGGACGCGGAGCCGAAGGCCACATGATCCACATCTCTCCCTCTCCTGTTTCGCGTCTTTTGGTCTTCCCACGCCCGTCTGGTGTCACCACTTGCTCCCCCTCCCGTCCCGGATCCCTCCACCTGCGCTTGACACAGCCCACTCGACCCACCACAGAAGCTCGCACTCACGATGAGCACCATCGAAGTTGCGGGGAGCAGCTCGACCAATGCACGTGCAAACGACCAGGGGCTCTTCCAGTGCGGATCTTGCAAACGACACTACAATCGCTTGGATCACCTTGCCCGTCACGTTCGATCTCGTAAGGACTGCCGATGTGACTTGGCGTGACGAGAACCTGACAAGTTTGTTACTGGCTAGATACCAACTTTAAGCCGCACCGCTGTTCCATTTGCGGCAAGTCATTCTCGCGGACGTAGGCAGCTTTCTGTTCCTTCCGGGCCCAGCTCCAGGCCCAGCCCCTGCTCCAGACGCCGACCATGGCTCCTTGGCGTCGGTGATTGCTAACTAAACGCCTGTAATGTAGAGATCTGCTCAAACGTCATGTTGCTGCCCACGATGTGCGGAGCGCAAAAGTCAACAACCTGAGCCGCGGTGCCGCCGACGATGTCCCCGGCCGCGTGTCGCAAGCTTGCCGGGCCTGTGCCGCAAACCATGTCCGATGCACCGAGGCCAAACCGTGTCGCCGGTGCGCCGAAAAGGGCCTCGAGTGTGTTTACAAAAACGACGATCTGCTGACGCCGGCATCCCCTGTCGGTTCACAAGCCAGCGAGCAGTCACCTGCCCCGTCGTCGATGCCATCTTCTGGTTTAGAGGTGCAGATGACGGAAGCCATGCCGCTGAACGCCAACTACGCGGAAGCAAGGGATATGCCGCCACGGTTTCCCTCGCAACCTCTTATGGGGCCCTCAACACCGCTACAACGGGGTGTGCCCCCGCAGAATGCCTATCAGGGAACCGGTCCTGGCCCTACCATGGGGCCAATTGTTCAACATCCCTTTCGGTATGCCTCCCCTCCACCTTCCAATTACTCCTGTGCCTCATTCGAACGTGAGTTCTCACCATCCTAGTTGACGATTATATGGACCCCCACCCCGAACTCCCGACAGGGTACACCACCCCTACCATTGCTGAGTGGAACTTCCTCCCAGGCCTGTGGTCCGCCCCAAACAATCTTGGCATGGGGGTTGAACAACCATTCCCGGGTATCGACTTGGATGATTTAGACCTCCGTTTCCTTGATACATACAACACCACTATCCCGTTCGAGCTGGGCGGACCCCCACCCCCCGAACCTTCACATATGGCTCCGGCGATGGGCATGTCAAGCGTGCCCCATCCTGCAAGCAGCGCTTCCGAAGCATTCCGAAACCACCACTGGCGGTTCCGGCCAAATCCCAAGGACCATGGGGCGGCAGAGGAACACAACCTCTCACTGCCTTCCGATACCCGGGATCAACCATCGCCAGAGTCACAGATCTCCTTCCCTCGGCGTGTTACGCCCGTCCGTCTTGGGGCCGCCGCGCGTGACAGCATCTTGACCATTATTGTCAAGTCAATACGTCCCGAGAACCTGCACAAGGCCGTGGCTTCATTCCCAAGCATCGAGCTGTTGGATACCTTGATCCAGTTCTATCTTACCTCTCCCCATGCGAGGGCAGACTCCTTTATCCATGCCGCCAGCTTCAACCCCAATGACAAGAAGCCCGAGCTTCTCATTGCCATGGCGGCGGCCGGCGCCGTCCTGACTTCGGATGCTACGCTGACCAAATTGGGGTATGCAATGCAAGAGTGCCTCCGCATCGCGATCCTCACCCATTGGGAATCCGACAACACCCTCGTCCGGGACCTGGAGCTGACGCAAGCCTTCCTAATCAACCTGGAGATCGCCATGTGGAGTGGCACCACCCGCAAGGTAGAGATCACCGAGAGCTTCCTCCAGTCGCCCCTGACCATGGTAACCGACGGGGCGGCCGGTTCAAGAAATCGAGCTACCCGCCCGTCATCCTCGACACCAATGATCCCACTGCATCAGAAGAGACAGCCTGGCGGACCTGGATTCACCAAGAATCTTTCAAGCGCACCGCCTTCCGCTTCGTGCAACACGACCTCAACTCATCCATGTACCTCATGGTGAACCCTCTGGTCTCCTACTCCGAGCTCTCCCTACCCCTCCCCTGCGCACCCTCACTCTGGGGCAGCACCATCTTCCCACCAATGGACTGCCCTCCTCACACAACACCCGCCGCTTGCACACCAACCGCCCCCCGTAGCCGACTACCTCGACGACCCAGGCACCTTCAAATTCCAATCCCAGTTCCACCACGCCCATCCCATCCTCGAACTGCCCATCGCCAAACGAAGCCTACATCGCCTGCGCCTGGACACTCGCATGGGAATGCGTCCCGATCACCTCACTCCAACGCTCCACCTCCAACATCACAACACCCACCCACAAGAA